ATGGGCTTAATCTCCTTAAAGAAAACGAGATATCCGTGCCTTAGCCTGATCTATTTGTATCTCATTTTCTTTGCAATTTTTTATCAATAAAATATAATTTTTCTGGTATTTTCACCAACAAAATGTGTCCTGAAATTTTAAGGGTGAAGCATTAATAAATCCCAAAATGTGATCTTGTGAATTGTTTAATCTTTTTTTTTTCCCCCCTTATGAATCCAAATGTCCTATTAAAATGGAAATTACACAAAAGGATAGTTACATACATGTTTGGGTTTAATTTTTCAAGGATAAAAGTTAGTTTCTCCAAATGTAAAATTGAACATTTGGTCATTCTGTACTATAGAGGTTTTGGATTTTCCCTTCTCACGGAACAAATCCCACATTACGAACAAAAACGTAACATACTAATGTAACACTCTAATAACGTAACACTCAAAAAAAACTTATTAGAGTATTTTTCCCAAACGTAACAACGTAACGCTCCAAAAAAACTCTCCCAACATAACAACGCAACACTCAAAGAAATTTATTAATGTACTTTTCCCAAACGTAACGACGTAACACTAAAAAAAAAACTCCCTAAACATAACAACGTAACACTTCAAAAAAATTTCTTAGCATACTTTTCCCAAACGTAACAACATAACACTCTAGAAAAATTCCTTAATGTACTTTTCCTTCCTTAGTGTATTTTTTTCCAAACGTAACACTCACAGTTTAAAAATTATACGTTTATCCAAAACTTACTAACGAATTTTTATACTTTTTTTGAAATGGTTTGAAGAATCTCACATCCTTTTTTTGGAGTGTTACATTAGAATGTTACGTTTGGGAATAGTAATGAATTTTTTATATGTTACATTGGAGTGTTATACTAAGGAGTTTTTCTGAGTGTTATATTGGATTGTTTCGTTTGAGAAAAGTATAATAAGGATTTTTTTTTTGAAGTGTTACATTAGAGTGTTACAGTTTAAAATTATACATTTGCCCAAAGTTTACTAAGGAGTTTTTGTACTCCTTTTGAAATGTTTGAAGAATTTCACACCCTTTTGGCATATTTGAAAGATCCCATATTTCTAGTTATTTCTGTACTCATTTTTAAATATTTTCCAAATAAAAAAGATTCTCATATAAAACTTAATTCTAAATTTAATTCCCATAAATTGTGTACCTTACCTTTCTAGCACAAAAGAAAAAAAAAAGAAAAAAAAAACATAATAGAAATAAGGGTATAACCGTAAATCCAATTTTCAAATAATGTATTAAATTTACATTTTCAAAATCAATGGGACTAAATGAATCATCATTACTCAAGCTAGGATTTATAGGTAAATTTTGCAAATTTTAATTATGTTGACATATTTAGTTTTAAGGGTAAATTACAAATACACCCCTGAGATTTGATTAAAATACAAATCGCCCCCTGTAGTTCTAGAAATTATATTCCACCCCCTAAGGTTTCTAATTTCATAATAAATCGCCCATTTTATTAATAAATCATCAAGTCAATTAACAATTTTTAATAATTTTATAAATATGTTTCAATTAATAATTAAGGTAATTTTATTATTGTGTAGGAGAGAAATTAAGAATTTCTTTTTTTTAGTTAATTCTGTTAAATAAATTTTTTTAACGTGTATTTATAATTTGTCAAACTACAGAAAATAATTTATATTTTAAGTAAACTTCAGATATGTATTTGTAATTTACCCTTGTTTTAATGAAGGCAATCAATAATATTTAAAGAAGAATCTTGATAATGGTGGCTATCGGTAAAACTATATGTTAATATAATTAAAAATTTAATACATATTTTATAATTTTAATTAGCCTAATTTTCACAAGTTAAAATTATCCTAATTACCAAGAGAGTTTAGCATAATTTATCCAAAGTTTTAATAGTAACAAATTTGTCCTTACCAACAAAATTTAATTAAAAATAAAACTAAATTTATAAGCATTTAAGTAAATATAGTCTTTTGCTAAAAACAATACATTAGATAAGGGAAAAACATATTTAGAGTTGTGCAAAATACCGTTTAATCTGTTAAAATAACTTAATTTGTACCTATCTACCTATTAACTGCAAATTAGTTTGATTTGCGGTTTGAAATTTATAATTCGCCTTCGAAATTGTCTCATTCCACAATAGTTAATACATGTATTTTTTTTTACCCTAATTAAATATCAAAATATAAACCAGTGTGAGAGATATTCAATATGTGAAACAAACGAGTGACATATATGAAGAATATTATGTAAAATTAATAAGTGTTAATATATGAAAAATATCATACAAATTAATATTATATAATGTAAATACTTGATAATTGCTTAAGATTATTTTCTACTTAACTAACAAATTGAAATTGTCAAAACTACGATTTGATTATTTACCAATCTGTTATTCACAATTTAAATTATAATTTTACTATTAGGCCATGTTTGTTTAGAGGATTAAATTGGATAAGATATTAGTACGGTGGAATTGAGCAAGTAAATTAGTTATGTGATGGTATTAGATTGGAGATGTAAGATATAAAAATATTTGTTTGTGTACCAATATGGTGGTGTTAAATCTATGAAATTACATAAAAGTCCTCATTGTATAAAAAGTGACCGTTATTTTTCGTGAAAAGAGGGCAAAATGGTCTTTCATCTTCAATCTTCAGATTAATAGTCCTAGTTTTTCAATGGGTACGCTAATCCCACACTTAAGAGGATTGGTGGTCTAAATGGACTAATAATCCCATAATATTTTAATACAACCAAACATAATTTTAATAGACCTCGTGGATGGTTAATCTAATTCTCTCTTCTAAAAAATCAAAAACATACCAATCCCACTTGGCACACCTCTAAGTACGGATTTGGGGGTGCGGCTATGTCTTCAAGGCACAATAGCCTGTTGTGTCCTTTTGTGAGAAGTTGTCCCGAGTGTTTTTTGATAATCTGTACTGTTCATATTGTAGGGTTCGTCAATAATATTATCCATGTAAAAAATCAAGTTAATCGGATATTTGTAACCTCATGACTAGGTCCCAATTATTTTTAAAAATTTATGAAAATTATGTTAACCGTTAATTTTTATAAAAACAAAAATGCTTTTGTTATAGGGTTGTAGATATTTAATCAACTTGATTTTTTACATGGGTGATCTACTCGACGAATTCTACAATATAAACGGTTCAAATTATTGAAAAAGGCTCAAGACGACGCTCCACAAGAGAGCATATCAGCCTACTGTGCCTTGAAGGCACAACATGATTCCCAAATCTCTCTAAGTACAACACAACTCGTTTATGGCCTCTTTTGACAAAGAGATTAAAGCAGTTTTTTAGTTTTTAATTTCTTTTGAATATTTTTCTTTAAAAAAATAAATAATTTTTTTTAACCTACTATCTAAAATAACCAAGGTATTTATATTATAATCAACTAGGGGTGAGTATAGTCCGGATTGGAGTAAAACTAGGACCAATTCATTATCTACGGTTCTTAAAAAATTGGAATCAATCCAATCCGTTTAAATCATGGAACCATTCGAACCAATCCATTTAAATACAGATTGGATCAGTTTAGGACTGCGGATTCACATAATTAAGGCCTCGTTTGGCATGCTAGTATTTTAGCTTAATAGACAAAAAGTTACTAAAAAAAATCAAAAAGCCTGTAACCTATACCAAAAGGATAAAGATCCCATTTTCTTTCAACTTTTTGCATATCTTTTCGTAAAAAAATAAAAAAACGTTCCAAACATACTAGTTTTTTTTCTTCATATTTTAGCCAAAAAGTCAAAAACTTACTAAAATAGTCTGTTCCCAAATAAGGCCTGAATAATTAAAAAAAATAAAAGAACATTTTAATTTCATAAAAACATAAATATAACATTATATTAGTTCCACAATAGCAACATGTCTTTTTATAATAGCGACATACTGTTCTAGAATTTAAACAACCATAAGAAAACTGGTTCCACTATAAGAATTTAGATCATTATAAATTAAAACTAAAAAAACAAACAAAGCAATAAAAGAAGATACTATGCAGGTTTAGATTTAGATTTGAGTCTAGGTTTTATATGGAATAAGAGAAAATACTATGCGGGATGGTATACAATATAAATATAGGCTATTTGTATATAGTCCGGAATCTGAAATCGATCCGTAGATTACGAATTTTTAATTTTTTTAATCCGAAACCGAACTATAAATTCAAAAAATTAATCCAAATCTATTAAATTATACTAAACCGGATCGAATTACGAATTAATTCCTTACTCAACCCTATAATCAATTAACGATCAGAACACTTCTATAAGTACAGTTACGTGGAAGTCATCGGGTTGGATTGGATCCGCACTAAAGCAGCCTAACCCTAGCAAGTTGCGTCGGATGCAAATATGGACCGACTCCTAATTTCACCGTCAACTCTCAGCAACAGTGTCAGAATCCAACGGCGTGTTCTGCCTGTTGTAGTAACTCAAACATCTCTCGAGCAGCGGAGAGAGAGAGGAAGCTGCGACAAAATGAGAGAAAGGTACAATCCCCGACCCATCTTCAAACTTTTACGATCATTTCTTCGTCAAAGCAAAATATAGGAATACGATTTTTATCTTTTTTAGAAAAAAAAATCGAAGATATTTCAATCGTAAAACCGATGAAACGTTGACGAATTTTCACGGATTTGGTGATTCATATAATGGGTTTTGATGGTTTGATTAGATGATCTATTGATATTTGAAAGAAATGGCAAATTCTAGTCAGACCCTGTTTGATCCAGTAATAATATTTGGAACTTATAGGTCTTGATTGTTTTTTTTTCTTGTTTTGTAATTGAGCTTAAATGTCTGACTTTAATGCTTTAATTTTTTTTTTTGATAAATAAAACAACTTTATTAAATGGCATCAAGGCGATGCAAAGAATACAAGAACGAACTAACAAAACAAAAGCAACCTAAAAACCGGAACTACACAAAACATGAATAAAATCAAGCAAAAGAACTATGAAGACAAATCCTCTACAAATTCAACAAAAGACAAAACAGCCGAGTCCACAGTCAGCGTTAACCAACTATGCACCACAAGGAGCAAATGCCTCTCCAACCAAACCGCCAAACGCAACTCCTCCAAAAATACCCGCCGATTACGTTCCAACCACATTAGCCACATAAGACAATGGCCAGCCAAGTTCCAAGCCTTCCGCCTTCTCTTCCCAACCCTCCCCCCAACCCAGCTTTGTAGCACAGCCCTGACAGTCCCTGGCTGAACCCAATCTAAACCGAAGAGAGCGACTATAGACATCCAAATGCGTGAAGCAACCGGACAGCAAATAAGCAAATGATCCACTGACTCCGCAGCTCCACAACACATGCAACACCAGTTGACCAAAATATGCCCACGGCGACTCAAATTATCAATCGTCAGAATACGGCCTAATGCAGTTGTCCACACAAAGAAAGCAACTTTAGACGGACAACCCACCACCTAAACACTCTTCAAAGGGAAAGGCACCCCAACCCTCCCCGTAAGCCTATGGTAAAAAGAAGATACAGAAAAACCCCTTTAGACTTTGGACAATTCCACCTCATAAAATCTTCACCAACCCCTCTGAACCGAAGCCCATACAAAAAACCCAACAAACCCAACACTTGCCCCATCTCCCAATCCTGCACTTGACGATGTAGAACTATGTTCCACACAACCACCTGGCCTTGCATTTGGGCATAAGAATCCACTGTTGCCTCCCGATCAGTGGCAATCCGAAAAAGCAGCGGGAACATCACTGCCAATGACAGCTCCGCACACCACCTATCCCTCCAAAACCGAACTCGGGTCCCCACCCCAACCAAAAAACTCACATTCTTCCAAAACTCCTCCCGTCCCAACCAAATTCCTTTCCATAAACTACGACCATGCGAATAGGTAACCTCCTTTGTACACCAATCCCCTCAACCCAAACCATATTTAGCCCCGATCACCTTCCTCCACAACCGCCCCCTTGCTACCCCAAACCGCCATAACCACTTCCCCAAAAGAGCCAAATTAAATGAAATCAAACTCCGGATCCCCAAACCCCCCATCGCCTTAGGAGAACAAATCTGATCCCAGGCGACAAGATGATAATTAAAGGATTCTGACCCTCCTCTCCATAAGAAATCCTTCTGCAACTTTTCCAACCTCCGAGCAACAGACACAGGAATAACATGTACTGACATGAAATAAGTCGGGATACTCGAAAGGACACTCTTGATCAAAGTAACACGTCCCATTTTCGAAAGATATTGCCGCTTCCACCCTGCCAAACGACGCTGCACCCTATCCACCACCTTATCCCACACCCTTGGAGCCTTGAAAGAAGCCCCCAAAGGTAACCCCAAATAAGTTGTGGGTAAGGCCCCTATCTTACAACCCAAAATTGCAGCCAAAATGAAAATACGTGGCACGGACCCAACCGGAATCAACTCTGACTTCCCTAAATTCACCCGAAGTCCCGAGACCGCCTCAAAACAAAGAAGAACAAACCTTAAATAACCAACCTGCCTCTCCTCCGCGCCACAAAAAATAAGAGCATCATCCGCATAAAAACAAGCGAGACACCACTAAACTAGTAGTCCGCTCCATACCCACCTTAAAACCCGTCAAAAGACCCCTTCGAACGACAGAAGATAACAAGCGCTCCAAAGCCTCCATAATTAAAATAAACATTAAAGGAGACAAAGGGTCACCCTGCCGTAAACCTCTATAAGTCTGAAAAAATCCTGCTAGCGTCCCATTCACTAGGACAAACATCCTAACCGTTGACATACAATACTGAATCCACTGCCTCCACCGTTTCCCAAACCCCATTCGTTCCAACATATACATCAAAAACCCCCAGTTCACATTATCATATGCCTTCTCAATATCTAACTTACAAATAAGACCAACACCCCCTTGCCGAATTCGCGAATCAACACACTCATTTGCCACCAACACAGCATCCAAAATTTGACGCCCCCCCACAAAGGCATTCTGGGACTCAGACACCAGCCCCTCCAAGACACCGCGCAACCTGTTTGCCAAAACTTTCGCCAGTAGCTTGTACACACTCCCCAACAGGCTAATGGGTCGGAAATCTTTTATATCCTCCGCCCTACCCTTCTTACGAATTAACGCTACAAAAGTTGCATTAAGACTCATTTCAAACTGCCCGGACTGATAAAACTGAGCAAATAGGGCTAAGACATCAGTCTTAACCACTTCCCAACACCGGTGGAAGAAAAGCATAGTAAAACCATCCGGACCTGGCGCCTTGTCCCTGGACATTTTCTGAAGAGCCCCGAAAACCTCCTTCTCGGAAAAAGGCCGCTCTAGCATCTGCCTGTCCACCTCCGAAAGAGCATCAAACTGAACACCATCCAAACTCGGCCTCAAAGTCTCATCCTCCCCCGGAAACAAATGCCGGTAAAAGCCCACTATGCCCTCTCTCACCACCTCCTCTGATGATAACAACACCCCATTAACCTACAACTTCCCAACTTGATTTACCCGACAATGAGCATTCGCTATATGGTGAAAATATTTTGTATTCCGATCCCCATCTTTCAACCACAAACATCGCGAACGCTGGCGGTAACTAACCTCCTCCATATGAGCCACCTTACCGAACTCCTGTCTCACCTCCTCACGGACCGCCAACTCCTCAGCAGTCAAGCTACCCGTCACTTCCTTTGCATCCAACTCTTGCAAGACAACCAAAAGATTAGCCTTTTGAGTATCTAACTGGCCAAACACCACCTTATTCCATCTTCGCAAGTCGGCCTTTAGAAGTTTTAATTTTTGAGCCAATCTGTAACTAGGATCTCCCATGACATCATAGCCTTCCCACCACAACCGAACTATATCCACAAAACTGGCAGATAGTGCCCACATATTTTCAAATCTAAATGGCACCGGTCCACTCCGAATCCCACCACTATCCAACAGCACCGGCCAATGATCCGAGATAGGACGCTCCAATCTTAGTTGAACCACTCAGGAAAAGTGCTCCTCCCAGTCTCCTGAGATCAAAAACCGATCAATACGCGAAAATACCCCGCCACCTGACCAAGTGAAGCTACCTCCCTGCATTGGGAAATCAATCAACTCCAAATCATCAATCAACGAAGAAAAATCCCACATAGCACCCACTGCTGGGCACAAACCCAACTTTTCATCCAGATAACGCACCATATTAAAATCCCCCCTACATACCATGGCGCTAACCACCGAAAAGCAATATTCTGTATTTCGTCCAAAAATAAAGGCCGCTCTGCCATCCTTTCCGGCCCATAAACTCCCGTAAACACCTAACGGAAATCATTCCCAATACAGCGAAGCAAACATGATAGAGAAAAACTACCCACCTCCTCCTCCTCTTTTTCAACCGCTCTACGATCCCAACACACTAAAATCCCCCCAGCCACCCCAACAGACGGCAAGTATGACCAATCTATATATCGCCCTCCCTCCCTACACCTCTATAACCACAGTCCGATCTATGTAATCCAATTTGGTCTCCTGAAAACATACAACATCCGCTTTCGCCTTTCTCAAGATCGCCCTGACTGTCACCTTTTCCCCTCTATCATTAAGGCCACGCACATTCCAAGTCAAAATTTTCAACCGCATGGCAACAATGACTGGTTAACCCGCTCCTTCCTGATAACCCTACCAACCTTTGGTGGCCTTCTATCATAATTGATAGTACACTGCAAATTCCGCAACTCTCGAGCACCCTTTCTCTAATGCCCAACCACCTGCAACTGTTTCCCCCCCGGATCACTCCCCCTCTAAGATGCCTCAATGGCAGAAAACAACCTCATTGCTTCAGCCTCATGACCAACAAATGAAACCCCAAGCAAAGAGCTAATCTCCTGAATCTGGGACAACACACGAGCAGACATTTGACTCGGATTAGGAATTGCATCCCCTGCAAAAATTTCGGTAGCAGACACCTGACTCGGATCAGTCGCCGAATCCACCACCTCCAGCTCTAAAGGGTGAAGAACCAAGGGCAAACTCTCAACGGAAGCAAACCCGAAATCGCCTTGTAAATCACCTTCGAACCCCGTACTAAGGTCGGCGTTACAGCCCAAATCGTCATCTTCCTGTTCACAACCTTCAGACCTCAGAACCAGCATCTTACAGACCTCTTTCGAATTGAACTCGGGTTGACACTGCGAAGGCTCAGTCGCCAACAGAGGGGAACATATCGGCGACTGCTGTCAGTCCTTCCTCGCCAGCGAGGACCCCTCTGAAGAAGGCGAACCCACACTCCGACGAAGGAGTTCAAAAACCCGTGCCACTGGTGGGTCCTCTGCTTGACCCGTAAGTTGCCCTGGTGGTGGCTTAGAAGATGGTCTCAAACCAGGGTCAAAAACATGATCCATAAAAGACTGACCCAAACCAGGGTCAAAAACATGAGCCACATGAGACTGACCCAAGCCAAACCCATTGATCATATCATGAGGCCCAAGTACCTCACCCTCGGCAAAGGCCTCAGATTGGGCCTGACTGAATGTCTGCCGGTCCAGACGGCCCAACTCCTTATGACCCGTCCCCTGTCGGGCCTGCAGCTGCCTCCAAAGACCCCCAGCCCTAAATTTCTCAAAACCCGGGGCCCAGGCCTCCCTTGATCCACAGCCCTAAAATTCCCAAATCTGTGAGAATTCAAACGTGATCCCCTCCGCTCCCCATATCTCTGCAACTGAGCTGTCTTCCGAAATCCTTGCCACGCCTTCCGCCCGTGATTCACGCCTTCCAAAACCGGCCGATCCGTAACCGTGGAACCACCGAACTCCGGCGCAGCAACCACCACGGGCCCAGTTTCCGACGAACCTCAACCGAACACACCCCAGCATCTCCACAGATTCATCAATCGCCACAAAACCACCACATCTGTTGCCAATCTCGCGAATCGACTCAGGACTTCGAAGGTGGATTGGAAGCCCCAAAATCTGTACCCAGCTATTTGATGCCGAAACTGGTGCCCCGCCATCCGCACACAGCGAATCCGGCGTCCACCAGCTAAGAACCAGATCACGCCCAGCTAACGTCCACCGCCGACGCATCGCACTCTCTGCCTCACGCCTAGATCGGAAAACAAAGAGGTAAAATTGCCCTCCAATACCATAAATCTCCACTTCCCCCGACGAGTTCCACCATCGATACACCCAATTAGCGACCACCAACAAATCCAAACCTTTGTCCCCCAGAACCCCCACCCTCCCCACTACCGCTCTATCCAGCTTCCGAAACCACCCCCCTTCAGAACCTTCCTGAACCACCACATCCCCCACATCCGCACCCCGATGTACTGGTGCAATCACCTGCGGGGGCCTCCCTACTGCCTCCAACCTAGGTCGGCCGTTCGTCGTACTATATGATATGATATGATGAATATGTAAAACAATGGCCAAGTCCGATTCAATTTTGATTTGGGTAATGTAATTTTGTTTATTTTGAAAGTGTCTTTCTTGATAATGGAGTATAATCTGAAAAGAGTTTTGGGTTTTGGAAGGAATAATTACAGGGAAAATGCAAAAAAAAAAAAACTGCTTCGATTTTGGATAAGTCAGGTTTCTTTGTCTAAGTCCCAATGCTAAAGGCTGGATTGAAAAACCTAAGTTAAGTTCAAGCCTAGTTTGATTGATATAGCATGACTTTTACTGGTTTTAATTGCATGAATGGGTGGCACAAGTAGATCTCTTGTAAACAGCTTCTGCATTTTGAAGTATTTAGTTTAAACTTTTACTATAAAGTCTGTTGGAAACAAGTCAAACTAAAAGGAAGTCTATATGTATGCTTTTGAACTGTTTTTTTTGGATAAATATGAAGGGTTATATTATGATTCATGTGTTATGGGACAAAAGAAGTATATACTATTGTTGAATTTTTTTTGTTGCCAAATCATACTGGTGTTTTGCAAGACTTGAGGTAGTCAATTTGCCGATCTCATCTTGCTTGTTGCTCTCTTTCCTTTAAAGAGGATCTTTTGTTCTTTGTAAATACTAAATAGTTTACCTTCTATTGCTGTTATGTATGCCCTTAGGGATGTTGTGTATAGTACTTTTTGTGCATTGGAATGTATGTTACAATTCTGCTGGATGCTGGTGTGGGAGAGTCAATCTTGCAATGGAGATCAAGTCTTCCCTTCTAAGCAGTTTATATTTTCTCTTCATTGAATGCATTATTCAATAGAAACAAATTTCCATTGGCATTACCCTTCTAATAACAGGCTTGTTTCTTTGGGTCTTTGTCTTGCTTGTGTATGGCCATATGTTTTTGGCTGAAATATGTGACATGCATGCCAAAAGATTGTGTTTTTAGTTTTCTTATATTGAGATATGAAACTCTCTGAACTTCTTGTCATTGCAGGGTTTCTAAATGTTGTCAACCACAAAATTAAACTTGGAGTGATCATGATAGACAATAATACATGCTTTTAAGTTGACGATGAAGCGTTACGTTTATATCAACGATGATGAGCTATCACAAGATCTGTACAGCGACAACCGTATATCAAACAGAAAATATACCTTATTGAACTTTCTTCCAAAGAATTTATGGGAACAGTTCAGGTAATTCTTGAATTGATAATCCAAAATTTCAGATATGTGTGTGTGTGTGTGTGTGTTTCTTACTACTGCTATTGTATACAGTTGAGTAAACCCATAAATTTTTGATACTTTTTTCAATGTTTGTGGTCCCTTCAAGCTAACCACACTGATTTTTTATTTAAGATTTGAGAACTTTATTTGATTTCAATATACAGCCTTAGACAGTGTAAAAAGATTCTGGCATTCTTCATGGAAATTATTTGAACTTGGTTCAATTTTATCAATATCATTTTTTTACAATCGATATATTATAATGGAAACCAATAGGTTAGTCCCTAGTTTCGTGTTTTCATTTTTGTGTCTACTAGGTCAGATGTGAGTAGTTCTTAGAATATATGGAACTTACCTCACTTGGGAGTTGCCAAATCCATATTTCCACATGTTGAAAGCCAATATCCTTTGATACTAGGCGGACAGTGTCAGCAAAAATGTACCTCTTGTCATTTTTGGGTTAGCAATTTCATTCCAAGGGGATTATAAACCTCTACGTGGACAAAAAAGTTATGCAAAATCCAAAAATTGTTATATTAAAAGCTAATGAAAGTATTTTGAGCCTATACAAAGGAACCTCTATACCATCAAAAGTCCATAGTTCTGCTCCCAAATGATCCATATAATGCATAAAAGGATCAAAAGCGACAACTCCTTCCTTCTCTTCAACACTCTAGCTCCCTGAATCAATGCAGTTACTCTATTTCAGTGAGCCCCTCGTTGCCCCAATAGTTGATATCTGATAGCCTCTCAATGGATTATTCCCATCAGCTCTGCCATGTCCCAATCTCTCTCTCCTTTACATCAGAAAATGTCTCAAAAAATTGATTGCCCTTTCCATGCAAATAATCAACCATTGAAGCATCCATTGCCACTGGAAAAACAGAAGGGAAAACATCTAACGTCTCCTCTTTGCACGAGACCAGAACTTCAAACTTATCCCACCCCTACCAAATCCCTTTCTATAGGCTAGTGCCATAAGAAATAGACCCCTCTATAGAAGCTGAATTACCTCAACCACACCCATAATTTGAAGCTACCATCCTCCTCTACCATCAAGACTTTTCACACATAAACCTCCGTAGCCACTTCCCTAAAAAAGCTTGATTGAAAATTTCTGACCGCCTAACATGTAATGATGTAAGCCTCCTTGCTTGAGGAAGGAAGGTATAAAGTATGTAGGTAGGTTGATAACTAGATAAATAAAATGCTACTTATTCCCAAAACAACACAACCAACAAACACTAAAAAATACTAATGGACTGCAATTACTTCAACACTTAATTACAGAACAACTAAACTTACTAGAAAATCCTAAACATAATTTAATATATTATTTCTGCTGTAATTCTAGAAATACAACTGAAGTCACCAGTTCCCCCTAAAATCTTGCAATTGTAAAATAACATAAATACCCTATAGTTGAATCCTCAGAAAAACAGATAATATCCAACATCAATTTTTTTAAAAGGCAAGGGACTGTTTGGGCTGCATCAATCTCCTACTTGTTATTTTGTCAAAGTTCGATCCTTTGTACACTTTTTGGATTTATGTATTTTAAGATAAATTCAGTTATGTATTTATTTATTTACATATCTGCCTAGTATGGCTTTTATATTATTTCTTTTTCTTATTTTCCCCCTTCATTATCCTAACAAAATTTTTTTTTTCTCTTGTTTCTAGCCGGTTCATGAATCAGTATTTTTTGTTGATTGCTTGCCTTCAACTATGGCCACTGATTACTCCAGTAAATCCTGCAAGTACATGGGGTCCACTCATTTTAATATTTGCAGTGTCAGCAACTAAAGAGGGATGGGATGACTATAATAGATATCTCTCGGACAAGAAAGCAAATGAGAAAGAAGTTTGGGTTGTCAAGCAGGGCATCAGAAAACCTGTGTAGGGAAAATATAATTCAACTGTTTTTTTGGGTCTGTTGTTTAGTTGTAATTAGTTTTATTTTTTGATAAGTAAAATGTATGTCTCTGTATTAATAAAAAAAGGCAAGAAAATTGCACCTATGTACAGATACAACGAAAAAAGCTCAAACACCAAAATTGAGCTCAGCCAAAAACTTTACAAAAGAAAGAGGATTCACAAAAACTTCTTTTATTCCTCAAATTTTGTTTTCTTCGTTTTCATAAACCAAAACAATGAGAAGTTCCAAAATGGCCATAGTTTCATTTTTGTACAAAAATAATGTTTGAATATCTGAAAACAACCTTTTATAGTTTCTGAAAATGTGGGTTGTTTTTGAAATCTTTTCCTGAAAACAGTTTGCCAAACAAGTTTCCTGTGTTTTCTTGAAATAAATTAAAAAAAAAAAACATTGAAAGCACAACCAAATAGACCCAATATTTTTAGACACCTTGTGAATAAAAATGATTTAATACAATGTTTTTGCTTATTTGTTGGGACATTATTCAACTCATTTTAAAATTTTATTTCTTAAATGAGTTTCATTCTATAACTTTTTCCCAAGGTTTCTTACACTTACTCTTTGTTCCTTGGGTTGGTCTACTCTCTTGTAGGTTCAAGCCCAAGACATTCGTGTTGGTAATATTGTATGGCTTCGCGAGAATGATGAAGTGCCATGTGATCTTGTTCTAATTGGTACTTCTGACCCACAAGGTCTTTGCTATGTAGAGGTAAATATGTGACTCCAGAAGCTAGTCTGTTTGACGGCTTCATTAAGTAGAAGTTGTAAGCATAATTTTTTAAACTTTTTTTAAAATATTTTTTATCTTCTTCAGAAGTTAATGGTAAAATTATATTTTTTTGGCTAAAAGGATTGGCTTGAAAGATTTTTACAAGTGAACCATGGTTATGATCACATAAAACATTCAAGTGAGCTTGGGAGACAACCCTTTTGTAAAATCCATTGTCATTGGATAGATATTAGCCTCTTCTATTCAATGTGTACATGGCCCCAACAACTAATGTAAATTCGAATTGGACAGTTATTTTATCTCATTACGTAGAGATTTAGAGGTACTCTCGCTTTGATGCAAAATGCCAATGTAAGAAACATGAATACTTCTAAGAAGGTGGTGTGTCTATGTTGGACACGTGCCAAACAATGACACTTGTTTGATACTTCCTAACACTAGTCGGATGCATGTTCAAATGTGTTATGTTATTTTTTAATCTTTTAAACTTGGACACGCGTTAGACTGGTAGAGTCCATTGCTTAGACACACATTACAAGTTTGAAGAAAATAACTTGTGATCCAATGATAAAAGAAAAACAATATAGATTTATACCTCTTTTAAACTTTAAAAATTAGTGTTATGTTGCCTTTATTTATTTATTTATTTATAAATATCTTTGAATGAAATATTCATTTCTATAATTATTTATCCTTATATATGACGCATAATAAATATACAAAATTATATACTTTTGTGCGTCCCTCTCATTTTTTTTTGATCGGCGAAAGTCAATGGTTAATTGTTAGATTAATACCTAGGGGTGTTGAACTCATGTGTTTTTACTTTTTGTTATTTAATAATGTAAACACACTTTTTCTGTTGTGCCTTTTAGGTCCTATTTTGTTGCGTCGAGTGCATGTTTCAAAGAAAGGAAAACAAAAGCAAGCAACTCTACTTCCTCTTTGTTATGTTTCTAGAAGTTTTGAAAACAGAAACAGAGAAGAAGGAAACTTAAACACATTCCACTGGCCCTAAGTCAGCATCAAACTATTCTCTTGAAATATAAAATGAGTCTTAAATAAACCCAAACTTAATTGGACAAAGTCCAATTTTATATAAGAGAGTTGGAGAGTGAGCTTGTTATGAATGTCAATTTTATTGGGGCTTAACATTTTTGTTGCATTAAATACAGTTTCTTATAATACTGCAATTTTATCACGGACTTCTGTTTTTCCATACAGGCTTTTTGGTAAATTTATTAAGTGCATGTCAACTCTCATAGAAACACAAGTTTCTGTCTCCCCGTCATGCTACTTAATCATGCTGTGAAGGATTCTAATATTTTCTTAGGAACATGAATTCCGTTTTTTTTGAAATATTTCAGGGATTCTCATATATAAACCTATTTTGCAGACGTCTGCCTTGGATGGCGAAACTGATCTTAAGACAAGGGTGATACCCTCTGCTTGCGTGGGAATTGATTTTGAGCTATTACACAAAATCAAGGCAAGCTTTTCTATACGTTATCACGACTAAAAATTTGTTAATATTTCCCTTTGAATTTATTGTAATGGTGATTATTTGCATTTTATATTTCTTTGGCAGGGTGTAATTGAGTGTCCTAATCCTAATAAGGACATTAGAAGATTTGATGCAAATTTGCGGTTGTTTCCTCCTTTCATTGATAATGATGTCTGTCCTCTAACAATTAAAAACACAATTCTTCAATCATGCTACTTGAGGAATACCGAGTGGGCTTGTGGAGTTGCTACTTACACAGGCAAGTCCCTGGTTTACAAAATGCCAAAGTCATAACTAAACTGTAATAGTTTATCTTTTGTTCACTTTTGTACACTCCCAATGTACAGAGGCTGTACCTCTATTGGTGCCCTTAGTGGATATTTTATTACTTACAAAAAAGAAATACTATGTTTATCTTTTTGTGCGTGTATAAATTTTCTGTTTCGTTCATTTCCTTTCTTCGTTGGGCTTTCTCAAGGATCACCATTTATCTAGAGGAGCTAACAGGTGATGCAGGGCAACAAAGAATTAGAGGGAAGGGAGCGAGCAATGCTTATTTTGTAATTATCGTGGGTATCAAATTGGAACCTGTTTGGTTGTCCGAAAAATATGAATTAACTCATCTACATTCCACGGATTAGATAATAAGATGTGTTTGATTGTAACAGAAATGACCAACAAAACAATCAACAAAGTTATGTAGTTTGTTAAAATCTAAATTTGGCCAATTCTATTAAAATGTGGGATTACTTTGTAATGTCCAGTAAATTTATTTCCTTACTAAAGTAATTGATTTGCATTAATTATCCATGTATCTTACTAATTGTGATTAATTGACACTTGCCACCACCCCAAGAGTTGGTGCCAATATGACAGATTTTCTGTTTGATTCCTTATCTTTAAAGATTTTCTTAACATTTCTGCTCAGTGAATGTAATAGTGAACATGTTCTTGAGAATTATATTAACAAAGACTCTTAAAAGTTTTGAAAAAGTCCTTAGCAATGTCACATGTATGAAGTCCTGCCTAAGATGGCAACTATCCATGGGAGTCAATAGTTGTGAAGTATTTGTTTGGACTATGAATTTTGTTATTTTTCCTTCTCTTTTCTTTGGGATATGCAAACTTGAAATGCTCAAAGCTGTGTGACATGGACTCTTCTAACCCTTGCAAGACATAACACACCTAGGTATGGGCATGGGATTTGTCTGACATTTTTGGTTGGAAATGCACCCAGCAAAGGAATTTGCTAATTTGTGTTATTGTATATTTCTGCATAGAGTTCCTATATAGTTGAGTTATTGTGTATTTGCTAATTTTGTTTGGTTTAGTTCCTTATTGTGTTTCTTTCGTTGCATGGTTGCTTCTAATTGACTCTACTGCCCACGCTGAACATGTCACATAAAAGTTGCTTTACTCTAAGCAATAAAAGAACAATGTTAAAAAATATGATTACAGGTAACTTGTCTTCATATTTTTTGAAGTGGAGATAAATTGACGCATAAGCACATATCCACACCCAACACACGTATCTGAGTCCATGAAGCAAAAGTGCAGTGGTTTTTGAGATTGTTCTTTACTGATTTATACCTGAATTTGTCACTGAATCTTATCCTTACGCCTGACTCCCTGGATTTTTTACATGATAGTTTATTGATTTTTTTTCTTGGTCTAGATTATTGTATACTTGCTGATTCGTATAGGGTAGTGTAATTCCTGATTCTAATTATTCTACCTTCAGGAAATGAAACCAAACTGGGTATGAGCAGGGGTATTCCTGAACCAAAGCTTACAGCTATGGATGCAATGATTGACAAGCTGACTGGAGCAATATTTATTTTCCAGATAGTGGTTGTTATTGTTCTAGGCATAGCTGGGAATGTTTGGAAGGATACAGAAGCAAGAAAGGTTTGTCTCAATTTGCAAGTTTGTTTTTCTTATTTGGTTAGCGACAATTGTACAGAAGAAATAAGAAATAAGAGATAAAGAGAGAAGAATAACAATGTAAGGCTTATGAGAGAGAAAGAATACAGTATTAGGGTTCTCCTCTTATTAGTATGCTCCGAAGTGCATAAATATCCTCAAACTAAATAATCATATTACAGAATCAGGCTTTTTCCTTTTGGCTAACTATTCTTGCCAGCTTGATTGTATTTACTTGCTAGTTACTGGTAATTTTTTGTATCATTTCCCAGAATCATGTTGCTTTCATTTTTGGTAAAGTATTAGACTTTTGAAGTACTGTCTGTCCTATTTTGGTGGTGTTTGGGAAGTTTGTATGTTGGATTTTTTTTGATTTTTTACACAAAAAGACAAATGTTTTGCAAAACCAAAAAAAAAACAAATCCAAACAAAATATCACATCTAACCCCATAATCATTTCACTTTTTCTCTCACAAAAATCACATCCAACCACCAAAAAATCCAACTATCTTCCCAAACACTAAAAATTTTTTATCCAATAATATCCTACAACTAAAAAAACCTACATAAAAACTCACTTCCCAAACACCCACTTTGTGTATCTTGCTTTACTGTTTTGGAATTCCCATTTTATGTATCCTAGTTCAAATTTAAGAAGTTTAATTATCAGTCATCACCTTTTCATATTATCCCTTTTTGTTTAAATACCATCACAATTACTACAAAATTTCTTCAAATATGACGAAGGCCACTTTTGTAAATCTATTATTATTCAAAGATGCTATTATTAAAACTGTTTATGGTCAACCACGACACGTAAAAAGGGACAGAGGGAGAAATACTTGCCCTCTAATGTTTTTTGTTGTGATCTTTCTCGACTTTATACCAACCTTCTTGGTGTTTTTGTTTTGTAGCTATGGTATGTTCAATATCCAAATGAAAGTCCTTGGTATGAATGGGTGGTCATTCCTCTACGGTTTGAGCTTCTTTGTTCCATCATGATACCCATTTCTATAAAGGTACACATGTTCAATGCTCTGCTTATTATGTCTTCTTCGTTATCATTGTTGCAGGTGACATGATTTTTACTTATGCCTGAACCTTCAGATGTGTTGATGTGTTCTAACCGTATATATTTAGAAGACAAGTAGTCCTTGCAAAGAACGCAAAGAGAAAAGAGTCCATACATAACCACAGGTCAATACGTTCTGAAGGTATACACTGTAGAAGGCGAGTAGTCCATGTAAAGAAAGAAAAGAGAAAAGAACTGACACATAACCATAAGCAGACCTGTGAGCTAAGATTATATTAGTTTTCTTGAATTTCCTTTAATGATTGAAACCTCTAGGTTAGTTGTGGTAGCTTGTGTATAGCCCAATCCATGAACACATGAGAGGCGAAGATCCCCTTATGTTACCGAATGAGGTTGTGTAATTATCATCCCTATATGTAAACCACACATGCAATACAGCTGAGACATGAATGCGTTGACTATTTTAAACTTTTTAAAGAAAAATGTTATTTTTTTACTAAATACTCTTTCTACTAAAAGTATATCTATTGTAAAAAAAATAAAAATATAAATAAAAAACTTTTGTTTCTTTTGGTTCAATATTTTTTGTAAGATGATCAGAATATGATGCCATCGTCTCATTCCTTCACATTGGTGATAAATGTACCTTTTTTTTTCCTTTTCCCTTCAAAAAGACATTGAAGACGTGGATAATTTGCCATTTATGATAAGATTTTGCAAACTTTTCTTGTAAGTAAACACTTAAAGATGCACTAACTAATTGACTCATGGAATATAGTCCATCCAAAGTTTTGTAACACAATTAAGGTATTGAACTTGTTCATTTATTCATGCTTTGTAATATTAAATAGGAAAAATTAGTAAGACATCCATCTCCAGCTTTGTGTAGTATGAGAGGTCCAAGATGTGTTTTTTATTAGTTAAGGTCCCTCAACATTTTCATAGAGAAAATTCGATTCAGAGAAATTTTGCCCAACTCAGAGAAAGCACTAACTAATAGATTCATGGAATATAGTCCATCCAAAGTTTTGTAACACAATTAAGGTATTGAACTTGTTCATTTATTCATGCTTTGTAATATTAAATAGGAAAAATTAGTAAGACATCCATCTCCAGCTTTGTGTAGTATGAGAGGTCCAAGATGTTTTTTTTATTAGTTAAGGTCCCTCAACATTTTCATAGAGAAAATTCGATTCAGAAAAATTTTGCCCAACTCAGAGAAATTTCACCCGATTCAGAGAAATTTCGAAATTTCTCTAGTATGATCACAGAGAAATTTTAAATTTCTCAGAGTTGGGTGAAATTTCTCTGAGTTGAATTTTCTCTGTAGAAATGTTGAGGGACCTTAACTATTATGAAAATATTGTATGTCGTTTATCTTATAAAATCTTAATATCAAGGACCTTAAAAAAACTTCCCCTATTAAATATTAAAAAATTCATAGTTTTAATTAGGTTATATTCATTGTAGATTATTATTATTATTTTTAATCTGTATCTATATTTATTAAGAATACAAGCAATTTGATGAAATTCCATATGTCAAAAATATATCTGGATCGTCATTAATGTTCCCTATTCGGGAGAATGTATTTGTTGCTGATACATATACATATATAAAAATAAAAATAATTTTTTTTTAGAGAATGTAGACTTGACACTCACTACTGCTAGTTATATTTGACACGTATATGTATGTGTTTTGGCCTCGTTTGTTTCCACTTAAAAAATTGATTTTAGCATAAAGTAAATATTTAAAACCCAACATTAAAAAAGTTAGCTTTTTAATCTTATTTTGATCTTTTTATGCTGAAAAGTAAATAATCTGAAAATACAAATGTGAATCCAAACACCCTACCTGTTTAAAGTACATCTACTTAAGCATGAAATTCAAAATGTAATCTAAATAAGTTGCAAATACGTGGAAACAAACATGACCTTTGTTTAGTTTGTTCTAAATGTTTAAGTATATGTGTTCTCATCCAATTTATCTGCCATTATAAGATAGACTATGTGAAAATACATAAACTTGATTGAATACATGATTAGCAAATATGATTAAGACCACCCATCCAATTCTCAAATTTATGTAGTCCGTAGAGCATTGATGAATGATCAATTGACTCTTTGAATTAAGAGGAACGTAAATTTTAGATAAGTAAGAGTGCCACTTCTAAAGCTTCAAGTATTTCACTGTTATGTGGCAGGTGTCTCTGGATCTTGTGAAGAGCTTGTATGCAAAGTTTATTGATTGGGACAATGAGATGATTGACCTAGAAACTGGCACTCCTGCCCATGCAGCAAAGTAATGAAATTGAAACCCATGAATGAGTTTATTCTCACATATATATTTTCGTTTTTCTAAATTGTGGTAATCCATGAGTTTATTCACACTATTTATTTAAGTTGTCGTTATTGTATATGGCAGCACAGCAATCAGTGAGGACTTGGGACAAGTTGAGTACATAATGACAGATAAAACAGGAACCCTTACTGAGAATAAAATGATTTTTAGGAGATGTCATATCAATGGCATTTTCTATGGGAACGAGAGTGGGGATGCTCTGAAAGGTATGGTTTTGCATTTTGTCTGTGTATTGTTACTCATTGCCTTGTGTATTCTATTACTCCTATTTTTCTTTATTCTATATTTATTTCTTCCAAAACTTCTAAATCATTTTGAGAAAATTCTGTCTTGGCAGATATATGGCCTACTTAACTTGTACATGTTTTTATTGCTGAATCACCATGTAAACCATTATTAATCCAATCACCTGTGCTGATTCATATCCTCATGAATGGAGAGTTTCTGTTGTGGAATATAATTGTACATGGATTTTTTTTTATAAGGCTATCCAACTTAATGACTTAGAAAGGATAATGCATTATATTTGCATTCTTAATTTTAGCTCATGGTTTTGTCGGATTTCCTAGTGTTATGCCTCAGTCTGAAGTTTTTTTTTTTGCTATTGTTGTTGTTGTTGATAAGTATGCCTCATTCTGCATTTATGCTTGATCCTTTCAGCTTTGCTCCATTTCTCTTAATTCACCGTTACCCTTGACTTTGTAGTTGAAGCAAATTTATTATTTGAATTATGGAGTTTTATGTTTTGTTGAAAGCTTTTAACCTCTTGGTTCTTATTTGCTTGCTTGTTATGAGTTGGTAAACCTGTAAGCTTTGTCAAGTCTAATAACATGATGGTTGTGAAGCATTAACTGTCATATTTGCATGATATTTTTCCGCTGGTAAAATTTGAAGTTATTCAGTCTGGACTGTCTCCACTGGTGTGTTTCTTCTCACGTGGATTTGCTTTATGCTTTACCTTCAGGATCTCTTTCAATTGTAAAACTTGTCTTTCACTTGTGAAACATGTGAATTCCTTGGAGTTTAATTTATTCCACCTCATGTACACAGATGCGGAGCTAATCAATGCTGTTGGCAGTGGTTCTCCTGATGTTGTTCGATTTCTTACAGTTATGGCAATATGTAATACTGTGATACCCATGCAAAGGTGATTTTAGCATCTTTGTTGGTCAATGCTTTGCTAGAATTGTCAAATCCACCCATAGGACCAATCACATGGCTTATGTTCTATTTATTGTGCTTTGGGCTTATTTTGAATGACTTCTTATCTATTGGTTCTGATTTATTTTTATTTTTATTTTTATTTTTCAAATTTGTGTAGCAAAAGTGAATCAATCTCATACAAGGCACAATCTCAGGATGAGGAAGCTCTTGTTCGTGCTGCTTCTTGCTTGAATATGGTTTTTTTCAATAAGAATGCAAATATTCTTGGTACGATTATTCTGATTTTGGCTGTGTACGAGGCATACTTATAGTCATCATGATGTATAGCTTCCTTTGTTTTGATGAATTGCAGAGATCAATTTTAATCGTGCAATATTACAGTATGATGTACTGGACACTCTCGAGTTCACTTCTGATAGGAAAAGAATGTCAGTAGTAGTGAAAGACTGCAAAAGTGGAAAAATCATCCTTCTATCTAAGGGGGCAGATGAAGCAATTCTTCCTTATGCGCGTGCCGGTAATCTTAATTTTTTTTACACCTCTCATGAAGGATTTTGAGAAGACACTATAAAATGCATTCATAGGAAAATCTTCCAACTTCCAGTCCCTTCACTTGTTCAATGCCTACATACACATCCAAAAACATTTCTTCTCGGAGCCCTCTTTATTATTATTGTTTTTATTTTTTTAGATCAATTAACACTACTGATTTTCTCTAGTGCCCATTCGTTTGGTAAAAGACCGATTTTTTTTTTCTTCTTTTAAATATAATTGGAAGTCTAGAACTATGTTTTGAGCTATATTGAACTCGGGTATGAGTGTCAGGTGTGGGTATGTATCTAGAGGTCGAACTCATTAAACTATAAATTTAAGGATATGCAGACTCGACAAAAAAAGAGTCATTTTTATATATTTAATCAAGTATGTGAGATAAAATGGTGTTATATATAGCTTACAGTGTCAAAAAGACATTTATAGCAATTATTCAATAATATGTACATATAATAATAGTGTTACATACAATTAGGGCTGCAAACGAGCCTAGCCGAGCTTTGTTGAGCTCTAGATTGGCTCGTTTGCTTATTGAGTTCATTTATTGAGCTCGAGCTCGGCTCGATAACTAATGGGCTCGAGCTCGGCTTAGCTCGATAATTTTTATTACTATTATTTATATTGTTTAAATAAAGCTATTTAAATAAAAAAATGGTATTTATATTATTTAATACATAAATAATGTATTTATGCTATAATTTATATATATTTATATATTATTTAATATATTTATTATATAATTTAAATAAAGATAAACGAGCCGAGCTTATTTGAGCTTGAGCTCAGCTCATTTACTAAACGAGCCGAGCCAGCTCGGTTCATTTGCAGCCCTATATACAATTATATAAGAAATATCCGTTGAAAAGTATCCAAAACATATCCCATACCCTTGTCCGAGTGTCGGGTGACCGACACGGGTGTTTGATTTATTTTGAAGAGTCTGTGTAACATAGATTTTGAGAGGGGACATTGTATTTGGTGTCTATTCATATTTTGTGTGTTTGATGTTAAACTCATCCACATTCAAGTAAGGGAGTAACATTATATGAATCTTGTTCCAAATTTATAAGCTTGATGCCAACTGTTCTTTTTCTAGGCAACAAAATTTGAGCCCTCGATGTTTATATTGAGAATCCATCCGGATATCACCTGGCCATTAGGCTGGTGAAATTAGATGCCATGTTTCTGTTGGGGTTATACTCCATGACAATTGGGGTTTCTGAGTTGTATCTGTCCCTAATCTTCTTTGCAACACATTAATTTTTCTTTCGAATTTTCTGGTAGCTATTTTCTACCAGATGTACAGCAATATCTGTCATGTTAGGTCTTTTTAGGGCTCTTTGAGTGTTTTTAAAGGAGCTTAACTACTGTTCCTGTGTACTCTCTGTGTGAATTGGTTCTGCCCCCTTCTGGCACCTCTATGATATTTGTACTTACTCAAAAACAAAGAAATGTTCACACTTGGAATAGCCATGTTATGCATCACCTTGGTCAACGTAGAGACGTGCATTTTCTCATATATTTGTACTTATCCTGTGGACCTGCTTGCATGATATGCTTTTTTTTTTTTTTTTGATCAACAACAAAAGCTTTATTAATAAAACTGAAGAAGGAGAGAAGAGGATGAGGCATCCTCTGAATACAAAACAGTGAGAAGACAACAAGAAAAAACTCCTAACCGACTAAAAACAATCAAAAGCTTACAAAGCACACTTTTCAACAACAACAGAAGCTTTATTATTAATAAAACTGAAGGAGAGAAGAGGATGAGGCATCCTCTGAATACAAAACAGTGAGAAGACAACAAGAAAAAACTCCTAACCGACTAAAAACAATCAAAAGCTTACAAAGCACACGCCGCTAACCAATCTCTAGCTAACAAAAAGAGTGGAACTCGTTTAAATAAAGAGTTCCCCGACGCCCAAAAAGAAGATAAGTGACAAACATGATCCCATAAACAATCCACCTCCCGAAATTTATCTTCAAACAACCTCTGATTACGCTCCCACCATAGCACCCAAAAAGTTGCAAAGACCACACAAGTCCATAAAATCTTGGCTCTCTTCGATCCTCCAAATGTATGAAAATCAATTACGAGCATATGCAAGCTCCTTTTTGGGGCCACCCACATACCGTTCCCAACACGAAACAATCTATGCCATAGATTCAAAGCTATTGGACAATGCAAGAATAAGTGATCCACGGATTTCCCACTCTTACAACACAGAATACACCACTGAGGATTTAAAAGACGATTTGGTCTCCTTTTCTGCAATGTATCATTGGTCAAAATTCCCCCATGAATCAAGGCCCACATGAACACCTTTACCTTTAAGGGAACACAAGCCTTCCAAACTTTTTTACTAAAAGGGAATTGAGGGATTTGAGGATTATCGATGATGCAGTCAAAAAAAGACTTGCAAGAAAATATGCCGGACGAATGAAGTGCCCAAACCCTCTTATCCTCCAAAAGATGAGATAAAGAAAAGTGATCAACTCTAGATAATAAAGAAACCAACTGTGAAGCCTCCCTATCATTAAGATTTCGAGAAAAATCAAAGTTCCAAGCAATTGGAGCTAAGAGAGAGCAAGCCATGGAAGCAATTGAAGAATTATGAGAACGAGCCACTCGATAAAGATGCGAAAAATCCGCGGCAAAAGAAGATTGACCCATTCAAACATCCTCTCAAAACCGAACAACTTCCCCATTACCCACCCTTACAGAAAGATGTCGAGACCAACATGTGAAAATTTGAGAAATTGACTTCCAAGGAGCACGGCAACTACCCCTTAAAACCACTCGTGAATCCCTTCCATTGTCTTGAATCCCATATTTGCTTCTAATAACCGAATGCCATAATGAATCAATCTCCAGTGGAAATCTCCATAACCACTTACCAAGAAGGGCCAAGTTCCTAGCAACAATGTTACCGATAGCCAAACCCCCTTTCTCCTTAGATAACGACACCACCTCCTAATTCACCAAATGATCCTTTTTCCCCCTCATCCTTACCTTCCCAAAGAAAATCCCGCATCAACTTTTCTATTGACCTTGCCACCTTAACCGGAATCTTGAACAAAGATAAATAATAGATAGGAATTCCGCTCAAAACAGTCTTAACGAAAGTGTACCTTCCCCCTCGAGATAATAAAGCCTTGCTCCAGCCGTCCAATCTTTTGCCAATCTTTTCCATTACTGGAGTCCAAAAAGCTTCACTCCTAGGATTACCCCCAAAAGGAAGACCCAAATACTTAATCGGAAGGGACTCTATACCACAACCTAAAAGAGATGCCCTACTCTGAAGTTGATCTTGTTGCATATTAATTCCCACCACACTACTTTTTTCCAAATTAACCTTGAGTCCCGAAATAAGCCCAAAGATTCTCAAGATCGAATACAAGTTGAATATCTGATTTTCATCTCCCGTAGAAAAAAAGATAGTATCATCCGCATATTGTAAATGGGTCACACTAATTCTATCCCGCCCCACCTCCAACCCCTCTACAAGACCTGTTTCTTTAGCTCTATCAACCATCCTACCCAAAACATCCGCCACCAAAATAAAAAGGAAGGGAGAAAGAGGGTCCCCTTGTCGAAGTCCTCTCGAAGCCCTAAAACACTCCCCTGGTTTCCCATTAACTATAATTGACATATTGCAGGTCGACAAACAACCCCTAATCCAAGATCTCCACCTCCCACCGTATCCTTTCTTATCCATAACAAAATCTAAAAATTGCCAATCCACATTGTCATATGCCTTCTCAAAATCAACCTTAAAAATAAGCCCTTCCCTCCCTGAAATCCTATATTCCTCCACTACTTCATTTGCCACTAAGGCAACATCTAAAATTTGTCTACCTTTCACAAAAGCCCCTTGCACCCTAGACACCGTATCCCCTAAAAACATCCTAAGTCTTTTTGATAAAACCTTTCCCAAGATCTTATACAATGACGTTACCAAACTAATAGGCCTAAAATCTCCAATTCTAACAGCATTGATTTTCTTAGGAATTAAACAGATAAATGTGGCATTTGAGCTCAAATTAACAATTCCGGACTCATAAAATTCCAAAAACACTCTCAACAAATCCCCTTTCACCACCTCCCAACAATCTTGAAAGGCAGCCATAGAAAAACCATCCGGACCTGGAGCTTTATCTCTCTCACAATCAAAAACCGCCTCTCGAATTTCTGTTTCATCAAAAGGCCTTTCAAGTCATATTGCAATTTCCGGATCAATGGTTCCCCATTCTAGTCCTTCAATCCCCAGTCTACTCATCTCTTCCTTCGAATAAAGTTGGGAATAAAACTCATAAATGCCACTGACAATCTGATTCTTCCTGTCCTCCACAACCCCTGGATTTAATTCTAATTTCTTGATGAACTTCTTTTTTCTTTTCTCATCTGCAACCTGGTGAAAAAATTTTGAACTAACGTCCCCTTCCTTCAACCATTTGATCTTTGCTTTTTGAGCCCAATGAATTTGCTCCCTAAAAGTCAACTCCTCCAGTTTCAATCTACACTCGGATCTTTCCTTTTTCAATGACTCAACTAAACCCCCATGCGTCTCCAAATCATCTAACTCTACTATTCTACTCATCACCTCCTTTTTTGAAGATTCCAAAATCCCAAACACCTCCCTATTCCAACACTTTACCTTCGCCTTGACCATTTTCAACTTTCTCATAAATTTAAAATCTTCCCAGCCGTGACAACTAGCATTGGACCACCATTCCTCAAAATTTCGCTTAAAACATGCATGCTCCAACCACATATTCTCAAATCTAAAAGGCGTCGGACCCCATTTTAATGGACAACTTTCGAGCACAATAGGACAATGATCTGAAACTATTCTAGGCAACAATTCTTGTTTTGAATTGGGAAAAACCCCATCCCACCCCAAAGAATATAAAAATCTATCCAGTCTACAGCACACCAAATTCTCTTGGAGATTAGACCAAGTAAATCTGGTATTACACAAAGGAGGATCCACCAACTCACACTCTCGTATGAACGAGTCAAAATCTCTCATCCCCCTAGTCGTTCTAATCCCATTAAGTTTTTCTGAAACCGTTCTAACCACATTAAAATCCCCCCCAACACACCAATTTGGTGAACACAACCCAAATAATCCAGCTATCTCCTCCCAAAAATCCTTTCTCCTAGAAGGCCTGTTAGGGCCATAAACACCTGTCAACCACCACTCCGAATTATCTAAGTTCCTAAACCTAATTGATAACGAAAACTCCCTCACTATTGTTTCACACTCAGAAACAACTCTCTCATCCCACAAAATCAAAACACCCCCTGATCTACCACTTGCAGGCTAGGAAGCACGGATACGGGATACGGATACGATACGGATACGGCGATACGACAAAATTTGAAAAACTAGGATACGGGTACGGCGGGGATACGTTCATAAAAAATATTATTTTAACAATTTTTAGTAATGCAGTATGCATAAAAATGAAACCTAAAGCAAAAGATAACTTGATAAAGAAGAAAAATTCTTATAAAACTAAGAGTCTTCAAGGTCAATAGTTTCAACTTGTTCCCCTTCGTCAGTGAATATCACAGACCTTAGCTAAAGCCAAAAAACCATTCTTAAATAAAAATTTCAGCAAATATACTTTTTTAAGTCATCAATGATAGCCTAAGAAGCACAGATATGGTGATATGGGGATGTGGATATGGCGATATGTCAAAATTTGAAAAATTATGATACAGGTACAACGGGGATACATTCGTAAAAAAAAAAAAAATTATAATTTAAATAATGTAATATGCTACAGCGGGGATACATTCGTAAAAAAAAAAAAAATTTATAATTTTAATAATGTAATATGCATGAAAATAAAACTTAAAGTAAATTAATAAATAAAAAGAGTGATTCCTATTAACCTAAAAGTGCTCAAACATTCATAAAACATCCAAAACTAAAAGCAAAAGCAAAAGCAAAAGCAAATGCAAATTAAACATCATCCTTACATGCCAACACCAAAAAAAGAATGAGAGCAGAGAGAAGAAACGTGAGAGAGAGAAAGCGAGAGAGAAGTGAGACAGACAACAAGGATATATCAATTTGACAAATTCTATTACTTTAACTCTCACTATATTCCTCTTATCAAAGAACTAAACAAAATGTTATAAGTAATATGTAACTTCGAGTATCTGATACTTCAAAATTAAGTATCCGATACTTCAAAATTAATAAAAAATTAATTAAGAAGTATCCGATACTTTTAAGAAGTATCTGATACGTATCCGCGAGTATCCGAGGAGTATCGGTATCTGATAAGTATCCGATACGGATACGTCACCCTTTTTGAAGTATCCGTGCTTCATAGCTTGCAGGCAAACACACCCATCTCCTATGTCTAACCCCCCAAAGGCTTTGCATGAACCTTCTCTCACATACTTCTACTTTGGTTTCCTGTAAAACAACAATGTCCGGTTGATGATGTCTAAGAAAATCCTTGATAACACCCCTCTTTTTCCGAGAGCCCAGACCCCTAACATTCCAGCTAAAAATCTTCATAAGGAAACCTTATCTCCCCTACCCGCCCCACTTCTCCTCTCATAATTCACTGAACTTGCTAGATTCTTTAATTCCCTAGCCCCCTTTTTACTACTATCACCTCCCTTTCTAATAGCTGACCCCCTCGTGGGCCTATTATCACCCTACCTGACCCAAACATATCCTTAATTCTAACTAATGACAACCCCATGACCTGCAATAGTTGCAAAAAATGAGGAATCTCACTCTCCTCAATTGGGCAAGTTGCATACTTGCTCAACTCGTTCAACCATCTTTCTGTTTCATCCTTCTCTCCACTAAAACCCTGATCCCCCTTGTCAAAATGATTTCTGGAAATCCTACACTGATTATCGTTCACCTGACCTTGAGATATAGTTGCACATAAGGACTCAGACACTAAGGTAGATTGCATCACCGTGGCCCTCGGGATATCAACTGTAACCCCTTGTACAACAGTGTCAACTAAAGAAACATCATGAACAGGGCAGAAAGAATTGGACTGAGGAGGCAAAGACCACCCATCCCGAACCCCATCCCCAGAAGAGGAAGAATCTGGAATAGCATGTAATCCCTCTTGGAAAGGTGAAACTTGTAAACCTTGGGTATCGGAAGAACTGACCTGATTCAAAGCTTCAGGAACCTTACCGAAATCTTCATCCAAAGTGGTACAGTCTACATTAAAGAATCGGTTGAGATCCCAGTCACTATCTACTTGCTCACTCTCACTAATTTCCCCTTCAAACTTCGATTCCGAGCTTGCAGATGATCCATAATTCTCCAAATTTTGCAATACCTCGTGTATCTCAAAATGACCCTCATTCACCTCATTAATCTGCTTTTCCGAGCTCCTTATCACCTCCATCAATCCCTGAATTCCAGTCTCTGTCCTCCCATTGAGTCTGTAAATCCCCCACTGATCTATCGACAACATCTGCCAGCCCAAAATGGATCTCCTCTGTGCTCATATCTCTGCGAATGGGTGACGATTTGTATAGCATGATCGACTTGATCTGAGCCTTCGCATGGTGTAACTTTACTGGCCTCCTTCATCGCAGAGCTACGTCGAAGACCCTCTTCTTCATCGAACCTTGTAACTCGCTTGAAACCCGACCCCGAAACCTCAATCGGGTTGGCAAAAGAGACCTTAGGGCCTTTAAAAACACTTGGGCCCCTTTCAAGAGGCAGCCCAGATGTTGAAATTTCGAAATTAATTGGGCCCTTCTCCTTATGAGTATGGCAAGCTTATGGAACTGAAAGCTGTGGCCCATCAGCGTAGCTATTATCTGATACTAACACTTCGTGGGTTGAGCCCACTTCATTACCAGGCCCATTAAAATTGAAGACAGGCCTATTCACATTATTCTTCCCAAGTCGACTTCCCCGATCGACCTTTTCAATTCCTCCATTATCTTCACCCTCCTCGAGCGTGTCACCCAACTGCCTTCTCATCTTCTTCGTGCCACGTGTCGAGCTTGTCCCCTGAGGCTCCTCGTCTTCCCCTTCTCCGGCTCTGGGTTCACCTGAAAAACTCCATCGCCGATGTACCTCCATTCTTCCGACGGGCTTTGACAGAGCCTTCAAACGCACAACCACCGAGATCCCATCGAACTGAACATGGAGTTTTGCAGGTAAGAACCCATTTCCATACCCTCTAACCTTCAATCGAGCCTCGAAGAGATTTCCAAAATTCCTGGTTCTGCGATCTACCTCAATCAGCCCACCACATTTTGACCCAATCCACTCAAAAACTCTGTCCTTTCAGAAATTAAAAGGCAGATCACAGACAGATATCCAACCTCCATTTGAAGCGATGACAACATCCTTATTGAATACCTCCTCCGACCACCCATCCAGTCTCACAGCAATACTTTTATGAAAAAAGCACACTCCTTGTTCACCATAGTAATCAGCTTCCTTAGAACTCTTTGCAAAAAATAAAGCCTTATTTAATTGAAAAGGTCTCAAAACAATTGAGGTTTTAAACGATCGATTTAATTCCCTTTCAATCTGAGCCCAGTCATCGAAGAAGTCAGTTCTGGTACAAACCACCACCTTGCGCATCTCCAAACAGAAATCATTGCCATCTGAAACATTTGATCGAGACTTAAGCACATCAGCGTATGAGGCTACTCTGTTTGCCCCTGTTTTTTGGAGAGTAAACCTATTTCCTTCTGATATTCCCCTACGGCTTCTGAATACAAATTGATCATTTATATTATGGCCCCTTTTATCTGTAGACCTTACATTCCTTTCAACATCTGAAACCCTGATACCTCCATGGATGATTCGTTCCAGCATCTTGGCCATTGCCTGCCATCCCTGACCATCAACCCCAGCTGGAATGATGATGTTGTTGTGTTTCACCCCAGCCTCCCATTTTGACATCTCAACAAAGATACCTCCCTTGTTACTAAATTTCTGAACCCAAAAAACTGCTGAACTACTTGTGTATTTGGAGAAGAAAGGTCGGTCATAATGCTGGCTCCATACCTGTCGCAAGGCTTTAATGGCCCAAGAAACACCCCCCAGATCTATCTTCAAATTGTAACTTCGAAATCGATTCCTCTCAATGATCTCCACTAAGCCTCCTCTGGATTCAGAATCCACCTGAATGGTGATAAGCTTCTGTTCGATTCGCAGCTCAGAAGCTCCCCCGACAAAAACACTCAACCTCACTCTCTCACTCATTCTACCTGAGTTTTGATCATCTCTTTGATAAATCATGATATTTTGCAAAGTTTATTACTGCCAAAGAAATTTGGGATCATCTCTCTCGTCTCTGTGTTCAGTCCAATTTTGCAAAACGGCATCAGTTAGAACATGAGATTCGGGCTACTTCTCAAGGTGATAAGAGTACCCAAGAGTTTTATTTTGTTGTGACTAGGCTGCTTGCATGATATGCTTTTTTAAGTGTGAAGAGTCAAAAATGGGTTGTGAGCATTTATTTGTTAATTATTGAGTTTGAATTTAGTCATGCTTTTCAACTGCTTAGGTATTCTCTAACTGCAAACTATTCAGGACAACAAACAAGGACTTCTGCCGATGCAGTTGAACAATATGCTCAAATGGGACTGCGAACATTATGCTTGGCTTGGCGTGAATTAGAGGAAGATGAATATCGAGAATGGTCTTCATTGTTTAAAGAGGCTAATAGCACATTGGTGGATAGGGAGGTAAGGTGTACATCTTAATTTTATTTTCATTTTCTTCTTTTTCTTCTATGAGAATGTGCATGTATACCTGCTCGCATGGAAGTTGGTCATTGACTTACTTTGTTTCCTCAATCTTTTATTTTGCAGTGGAGAGTAGCTGAGGTCTGCCAAAGATTAGAGCATGACTTTGAAATCCTTGGGATTGCTGCCATAGAGGATCGTCTACAGGCAAGCATTTTTGTTGGGACACTGTGATTTAACCTGTATTTAACTCGTTTTTTGTGTGGGGGCAGATGTCCTTCATGCATCCGCTAACTTTTAGACTTCGGACTTAATTTGTTATCTTCTTATATAATTTTCCAGGATGGTGTACCGGAAACAATTGAGTCACTTAGAAAAGCTGGAATAAACTTTTGGATGCTAACTGGAGACAAGCAGAATACTGCCATACAAATTGCTCTTTCATGCAATTTTGTATCCCCAGGTGGATCAGTTGTTTTTTGCTCTGCTCACTGTCCTATATTGATTACACATGTTGAAATTAAATGAATAGTTTTTATCTACTCCCTCCGTCCCATTTTAAAATGGTTGTCCATTTTGAAAAGTCGAATGTAATCTTGTGATTTTACAATATTATCCTTTTCTAAATGAGGGTGAATGCTTTTAATAGAATAATAGTTTTGGTAATTCAGACTATATTAGTTGGGTGTGAACACATTCAGTGCGTCCCCTTATAAAGTTGGAATTTTCATGTACAAAAAAATGGGACAGAGGAATAACTTTGGACAAAAATATTTCCAAGCTAATGAGAGAAGCCGATTAGTTCTGGCCTGAGTTTCTTTTAGTTCAGATCCTATATTGATTACCCATATCGGATGTCCTTCATCCTTGGGGGAATCGTGATTGGTAGATTCCTGATGAAGTCTTGTAATCAAAGGTTTCTTTTTGTTCAAATTTTTTTAAAATCAGAATTATTGTTTGGTTTTTGATTTGGTATACATTTGAGAAATGGTTGTTTACAAGTGATCAAGGTGGTGCACCCTAAATGCATGCACAAACAGTAGTTTTGCATATCAGCCATCTGGAGTTAAAAACTCATCTGTTTCTCATGTTTAACATTTTGCATTTAAATTCAACAGTAAGGATATTACAATAAGAATGCAGCTTTTGAAGACAATGGAATGGAATGTGCTAAAGTTAAAAAAAGTCTTCTCGTGTTTTTCAATTGTCTTCGAATATTCCTCACCATTAACTTTTACTATTTCCTGACTTGTTGGCAGAGCCTAAAGGCCAGCTCCTGTTAATAAATGGCAAAACTGAAGATGAAGTAAGTAGAAGTTTAGAGAGAGTTTTGCTTACGATGAGAATAACAACTTCAGAAGCCAAGGTATGGATTTGGCTCCATCATAATATTGCATCTAAAAATTCCGTAACTAGTTCTCCAATACTTTGTCCTGTTGGCAATGGAGAGCACTTTAACATCTTCCTTGAAAGTCTTTTTGAATCAGTTATATTATTTGTAGCAGGACGTGGCTTTTGTTATTGATGGATGGGCTCTTGAAATTGCACTTAAGGATTACAAGAAAGCATTCACTGAGTTAGCAATTTTGTCAAGGACAGCCATATGTTGCCGTGTTACACCATCTCAAAAAGCACAGGTGCTCTCTATTAGTTCTCGAATGGGCTATTCATTGTAATTGTTTGTAGGTTGTTTTAAATTCTGTAATTCATTTTTTATTTGCACCTGCTTAGACCCTGTAGTGACGGGTTCCTCATGCATTGTGACGCCCTTTCTCGAGTTCAATTTTTTTTCGCATTTATTGGGGTTTTTTTGTTTATTGTTCTTTTTTTAAAAAAAGGCACACTTACGGAAAAATGAAAAAAATAATGGGAAACTAGGCGGCAGTGGTCAGCAAGTCCAGATGAAGGTTGTGGTCTTTGTTAAACTTTTGGTTGGAGTTATTTTTAATGGCTTTCAACACATCATAACTGCAAGTCAGTCAGTAGACTGCAAATATTTAGAACTAGTTATGTTTTGAAGAAAACTTACCTAAGGAGGTTTGGAAGAAGTCTGCAATAAGTGTGTTTGTATATGGTCAATTAAACTAAAGCTGCTAGCAAAATATCAAATTAAATTTCGACATTAAAATGACAAAAGAAAAAAAGGAAAGGGAGATGATAAGTTTTCTTGACAAACGATGTATCTAACCCACCAATAATTATGGTATGGAGTTACATTATTTTTTTACAGGAGCAGGGAAAAACAATATGAATTAGGATTTACATGGCATGGCCTTTAACCTGTTGAGTTAATTTATATTGATGTTAATTAAAAGTGATTATACCTTTAGACATGATTCTCTCTATGGTGCTATTAGTTGCTAATTTAATTTCTGTAGATTGTAAGATTCTTAATCTATGTAGCACAGACCCTTCAAAATAAATCAAATATCCATGTTGGACATCCGACACTTGTTATTCCTTAGATGCTCCATTTTAAGTTCAACAGGACAAAGACAATACACTATGTTACATGGACTCGGGTGTGGGTATGTATTCAGAGGTTGGACTCATAAAGTTATAAATTTAAGGGTACGCAGACTCGGCAAAAAAATGCCAGATTTTTATAAATTAATGAAGTATGTGAGATAAAATGGAGTTTTATATAATTTACAGTGTCAAAAAGACATTTATAGCAATTATGCAACAATATGTACATATAATAATAGTGTTATATACAATTATATAAGAAGTATCCGTTGAAAAGTATCCGACACATATCCCATACCTTTATCCGAGTGTCGCGTGTCCGACACGGGTATTTGATTTATTTTGAAGAGTCCGTGTAACATAGGATGTGTCTAATACTTTCCATCAGATACTTGCTTCATCGGAAAAATTAGAGAAAGTTGTGGACCCTCTTCTTTTGCCGATCTTACCAGTACTACTACGGTAATGAATACGAGCCTTGCTAATGACCCAGCTCCCAGAATCAGTACGTTTCCTCTTCATTCTCTGAATGAATGAGCAAACAGAACAAAACCAATTTAAAACAAGAACAACAAAAAAATAATAATAATAATAATAAAAAAAATAAAAAATAAATAAACAAAAAAGAAAACGAAAGAGATGAGGGGTCGGCCGCTTAAAGTCTCACCACAATCCAGACTTCCTCCCTCTAGAACTCGCTCATGGATTGTTCTTCGGCCATTGACATTGTCCTGGAGTGATTTCTAGTAACTTCATTTCTCTCTCTCTCTCTCCGTGTATGTGCCGTTTTGGCAACTTGCAATTTCTGGATAATTTCTTTTCTCTCTCTGTGCCGTTTTGACAACTTAGAGGTGTGCCTAGTGGGATTGGTATGTTTTTTGATTTTTTAGAAGAGAGAATTAGATTAACCATCCATGAGGTCTATTAAAATTATGCTTGGTTGTATTAAAATTAGTCCATTTGAACCACCAATCCTCTTAAGAGTGGGATTAGCATACCCATTGAAAAATTAGGACTATTAATTTGAAGATTGAAGATGAAAGACCATTTTGCCCTCTTTTCACGAAAAATAACAGTCACTTTTTATACAATGAGGACTTTTATGTAATTTTATAGATTTAATATGTAACGCCCCAAAAATAATACAACTAATCCATTCCGTGGGATTAAAAAATATAATAGAAATGTTACACTTTCATCCATCAGAATTCGTATTACAAAAATGATTACATGCGTTACATTCATAAACTTTCATCCTAAATCTACAACATGTAATAGAAGTTGATAATAACAAAATAAATGCCCTACGGGCTTATATCTTTCCAAGATATCACTTGGTTACAACAAAAGAAAGAGTCCTAAGCTCTATACATGTGAAGCTCTCGGCTTGAATAAACATTTAAACATAAATATAACAAAAATAGAGCCTTCAGCCCTCAGTCTTCTCAAGCTAAGTGCTTGGAGGAAGCATGTCACCAGTTGTGACAACCCTCACCTCTGATTAGCGTTAATTCACGATTAAGCATGATAAGAAATTGATTAAGAGTAAATCCTAAATTGATTGCATGAGTGTGTTGCTTTAATTGCATTTCTATCTGTTTGTTACAGAAATGCTTTAAGCCATTTTCTAAAACTCATAGGAACTCCCTCTGTAACGGATACAGTGGTGTCACCATGTTTGACTCTGTTCATGAAAAACGGCTTAACAAATGTTCGATCATTGTATGACATCTGTCGTTTGAAGCGAGCCTTCACTTCCTTATTCACGGTCACCGGAAAGACATCTAAACTTGCTTCATTGGAAAAATTAGAGAAAGTTGTGGACCCTCTTCTTTTGCTGATCTTACTAGTACTACTACGGTAATGAATACGAGCCTTGCTAATGACCCAGCTCCCAGAATCAGTACGTTTCCTCTTCATTCTCTGAATGAATGAGCAAACACAGAACAAAACCAATTTAAAACAAGAACAACAACAACAAAAAATAATAATAATAATAAAAATAAAAAATAAATAAACAGAAAAGAAAATGAAAGAGATGAGAGGTCGGACGCTTAAAGTCTCACCACAATCCAGACCTCCTCCCCTCTAGAACTCGCTCATGGATTGTTCTTCGGCCATTGAGATTGTCCTGGAGTGATTTCTGGTAACTTCCTTTTTCTCTCTCTCTCTCTCTCTGTATGTGCCGTTTTGGCAACTTGCAATTTCTGGATAACTTCTTTTTTCTCTCTATGTGCCGTTTTGACAACTTAAAAAAATAAATAAATAAAATGTTCGATCATTGTTTGACTCTTTTAATAGTAAAAAGTCATTTGACTCTTTTTTTGGAGAAGAGCTGCAAAACGTTTTTTTTTTTTTGTTTTTAAGTTGTCAAAACGGCACATAGAGAGAAAAAAGAAGTTACCCAGAAATTGCAAGGTGCCAAAACGACACATACAGAGAGAGAGAGAGAGAGAAAGGAAGTTACCAGAAATCACTCTAGGATAATGTCAATGGCCGAAGAACAATCCATGAGCGAGTTCTAGAGGGGAGGAGGTCTAGATTGTGGTGAGACTTTAAGCGTCCGACCCCTTATCTCTTTCATTTTCTTTTCTGTTTATTTATTTATTTATTATTATTATTATTTTTTGTTGTTCTTGTTTTAAATTGGTTTTGTTCTGTGTTTGCTCATTCATTCAAAGAATGAAGAGGAAACGTACTGATTCTGGGAGCTGGGTCATTAGCAAGGCTCGTATTCATTACCGTAGTAGTACTGGTAAGATCGGCAAAAGAAGAGGGTCCACAACTTTCTCTAATTTTTCCGATGAAGCAAGTTTAGATGTCTTTCCGGTGACTGTGAATAAGGAAGTGAAGGCTCGCTTCAAACGACAGATGTCATACAATGATCGAACATTTGTTAAGCCGTTTTTCATGAACAGAGTCAAGCATGGTGACACCACTGTATCCGTTACAGAGGGAGTTCCCATGAGTTTTAGAAAATGGCTTAAAGCATTTCTGTAACAAACAGATAGAAATGCAATTAAAGCAACACACTCATGCAACCAATTTAGGATTTCCTCGTAATCAATTTCTTATCATGCTTAATCATGAATTAATGCTAATCAGAGGTAAGGGTTGTCACAACTGGTGACATGCTTCTTCCAAGGACTTAGCTTGAGAAGACTGAGGGCTGAAGGCTCTATTTTTGTTATATTTATGTTTAAATGTTTATTCAAGCCGAGAGTTTTACATGTATAGAGCTTAGGACTCTTTCTTTTGTTGTAACCAAGTGATATCTTGGAAAGATATAAGCCCGTAGGGCATTTATTTTGTTATTATCAACTTGTATTACATGTTGTAGATTCAGGATGAAAGTTTATGAATGTAACGCATGTAATCATTTTTGTAATACGAATTCTGATGGATGAAAGTGTAACATTTCTGTTATATTTTTTAATCCCATGGAATGGATTAGTTGTATTATTTTTGGGGCGTTACATATTAAATCTATAAAATTACATAAAAGTTCTCATTGTATAAAAAGTGACTGTTATTTTTCGTGAAAAGAGGGCAAAATGGTCTTTCATCTTCAGTCTTCAGATTAATAGTCCTAATTTTTCAATGGGTATGCTAATCCCACTCTTAAGAGGATTGGTGGTTCAAATGGACTAATTTTAATACAACCAAGCATAATTTTAATAGACCTCATGGATGGTTAATCTAATTCTCTCTTCTAAAAAAACATACCAATCCCACTGGGCACACCTCTAAGTTGTCAAAACGGCACAGAGAGAGAAAAGAAATTATCCAGAAATTGCAAGTTGCCAAAACGGCACATACACGGAGAGAGAGAGAGAGAAATGAAGTTACTAGAAATCACTCCAGGACAATGTCAATGGCCGAAGAACAATCCATGAGCGAGTTCTAGAGGGAGGAAGTCTGGATTGTGGTGAGACTTTAAGCGGCCGACCCCTCATCTCTTTCGTTTTCTTTTTTGTTTATTTATTTTTTATTTTTTTTATTATTATTATTATTATTTTTTTGTTGTTCTTGTTTTAAATTGGTTTTGTTCTGTGTTTGCTCATTCATTCAGAGAATGAAGAGGAAACGTACTGATTCTGGGAGCTGGGTCATTAGCAAGGCTCGTATTCATTACCGTAGTAGTACTGGTAAGATCGGCAAAAGAAGAGGGTCCACAACTTTCTCTAATTTTTCCAATGAAGCAAGTTTAGATGTCTTTCCGGTGACCGTGAATAAGGAAGTGAAGGCTCGCTTCAAACGACAGATGTCATACAATGATCGAACAAGGCACAGCAGGATTCCCAAATCCCTCTAAGTATAACACAACTAGTTTATAGCCTCTTTTGACAAAGAGATTAAAAGTAGTTTTTTAGTTTTTAATTTCTTTTGAATATTTTTCTTAAAAAAACAAAAAACAAAAAAAGGAAAAGAAAAAACAACTTGTAACCTACTACCTAAAATAACCAAGGTATTTAGATTATAATCAATTAGGGGTGAACATAGTTTGGATTGGTTCGAATTGGGGTAAAATTATGACCAATTCATTATCTATAGTTCCTGAAAAATTGGAACCAATCCAATCCGTTTAAATCATGGAATCATCCGAACCAATCCATTTAAACATGGATTGGATCGGTTTAGGACTACTAATTCACATAATTAAGGCCTCGTTTGGCATGCTAGTATTTTAGCTTAATAGCCAAAAAGTTACTAAAAAAATTAAAAAGCCTGTAATATAGCGATCTCAGTTTTAACCCGTCATTTGTTGTGTTTCGGACTCAGGTTTAATGTTTCCATAGAGAAATTCGCTTTACCCTGTAGGGTAAATTTACTTTGAGCTAAGCCCCTCATACTTGTTTGCATACTGTTAAAGCTAGTTCTTTATAGTGCAGTTATTGTCATCACAATGGCCTCTCCCCGAGAAATACCGTTGGATTATTTATGTTTTCTTCTTAACTTTATAGGTACTTTTTTAAAATATTTTTTATATATATATTTTTAATTTTAACCTTTGCAGCTTGTGGAGCTCTTAAAATCCTGTGACTACAGAACATTGGCCATTGGGGATGGTGGGAATGATGTGAGGATGATACAACAAGCAGATATTGGGGTTGGAATTAGCGGTAGAGAAGGACTACAGGCAGCAAGGGCAGCTGATTATAGCATTGGGAGTAAGTTCTTGATGCTACATGTTTCAATTTATGGACTGGAAGTTATTCCAGATCACTTTTCTAATATTATTTTTGATAGTTAATTTATATATATTGCATATGAATTTAACTTGCGCCTTCTAGTTGTAATACTTAATGATAAATTGTTGACCACCAACCCATCTTAAAGCTCAAGCTGTTAGAGAGAGTGGTTACTTTTTAATTTATATCCTCAGCATGCCCCTCATGTGTGGTTAGGCTCTCCTCCATAAGTGGGCCAAACACATGTAAGTATTATAGTTAACGGGTCAGTAAGATTTGAACACAGTATCAATTTATTGCTTTGGTACCAAGATAAATTGTTGACCCCTAACTCGGCTATGAGCTTAAGTTGTTAATATGGTTGCATGCTTCTAAATAAAATAGGTGCAATTTTGATTGCTTACTCTTCCTTTTGAGAAATGTTATTTCGATTTTTTCGATGTTCTTCCCAAGTGAAGTGTTTAATTTGCGTCAGAGACATGATCTAGTTTTTATGAAATCTGTCACATTTTTATAGGTGTTAGATTAGATTATGACATACTTTGTCTTCGTGTATGGGTATTTCATATGTTTGTTTTCTGATATTTGGCCTGGATTTGAGCTTCCCTATGTTGACAATGGCATCAACTATTTCTTGTCTTGCAGAGTTTAGGTTTCTGCAAAGGTTGATACTTGTTCATGGGCGGTATTCGTACAATCGCACAGCATTTCTATCCCAATATTCGTTTTATAAATCCCTAGTGATATGTTTCATCCAAATCTTGTGAGTTATCATGTGGTGGCTTCTCTTTACGGTGGTGCTATGTGCACCAATTAATATACTAACTAGTGTACCAACACTAGTTATGACATTATTATTGACCCCACTCAGTAATCATATTACAAATTTCAAAAACCTCTTAAATTATGCCATATCATCAATTGGTACACTAATTAGTATATCAATTGGTACATATAGCATTATTCTTCTCTTTATTCTGCTCTTCCGCAACTTATATTTTTTTAGTTTTCTGATGTACTAACACTAGAACACATTCAGTTTCTCATTTATTTCAGGCGTCTCGGGTACCAGTCTTTTCAATTCCGTCAGTTTGATGGCTTATAATGTTTTCTACACTAGCATCCCTGTTTTAGTCAGTGTCCTTGACAAAGATCTTGGTGAAAGTATTGTGATGCAGCATCCACAAATTTTATTTTACTGCCAAGCGGGAAGGTTGTGATTTTCTGCTCTTTATCCACATTCTTTTGCTTTCACGATTAAAAGAAAAGATAAGAATTCGTTTTCACTTATAGTAACTATTGCATTTGTTGGGATGGGAAACTGGGTCCTTTGCTATCTCTTGCTCAGATTCTTCCTGCTAGGAATTAAACTAAAATAGGATCGTTCTTGAAACAGGCTTCTTAATCCTAGCACATTTGCTGGATGGTTTGGGCGGTCTCTGTTCCATGTGAGTGCTGTTTATTATTTTACATCATAATATTGTGCGACTAGGAAACAATGAGTTTCATAAAATGAATGTAATTGAGATGAGAATGCTTAGATGGATGTGTGGTAAGACTAGGAAAGACAGAATTAAAAATGAATATATTATTCTCTATTACCATGTTACCATTTTCCTTACTTCCGTTGTGCTGATAATGGAGATGGTTTGCAGGCAATTGTAGTATTTGTGATAACCATACATGCTTATGCTTTCGAAAAAAGTGAAATGGAGGAAATTTCGATGGTGGCACTCTCTGGATGTATTTGGTTGCAGGCTTTTGTTGTTGCATTAGAGACAAAGTACGTTATTATTTGGTTAATCATGTTCATCAACATAATTTTGACTTCTTGATTTCTTTTCATATAAAAAATGGGTATAATCAGTGCAATTACAAACCCCCAATGTTGCTATAATAAGAAGATATGAATGAGAAATATTGCATTGAAATTAATTTAGTCCGTTTTAACTGCTATACTTTTGTTTGTTTTATGTGTGTAGCTCATTCACAATATTGCAACACTTAGCCATATGGGGGAATCTGGTTGGTTTTTATATCATCAACTGGATTGTTAGTGGCGTGCCATCGTCAGGGATGTACACGATCATGTTCCGCCTCTGTAGACAGCCATCTTATTGGAAAACTATGCTTGTGAGTTTTACTTCTCATTTTATGTTCCCTTTCATTTACACGTTTTGGACACGGACATGTGTCAGACACACTAAACAAAGTGTCCCATTTTTTCTTTTTTTTTTCTAGTCAGACATGCTGGGGACATGCAATGTCTCTTTTTTATTATTATTGTTATTATTATTTGTTTTTCAATTGAGCAACATAGTGAAGATTGATGAATTTGGTGAGAATAAATATATAATGTTCAAATATATGACACAATAAGTATATAAAACCCATGATGTATCATGTCCTACATTTTTTGAAAATTTGCATGTTCGTGTTGTGTCCAAATCATGTCATGTGTCTGTCCATGCTTTTAAGCATGCAGATCTTCTCAAAATTTCATCTCTGGCTACTTAGATGACCGGTTACAACTTGCTACATTGTACACAGGAGTGTTGTCGTTTTGCCCAGAAGTGAAAAAAAAAAAAAATCATTATACTAGTCAAATAAATAAATCAAATCAAATCAAAAACCATTGCACTAACATGCTTTCATTGGGTACGTGAGGAACTTATATCCTAACTGGAACTGCAATATATTCTTTTTCAGTTGATTGTGGCCGCAGGGATGGGTCCGGTGCTAGCTCTGAAGTATTTCAGGTATACTTACAGATCGAGCAAAATCAACATACTTCAGAAAGCTGAACGTTTGGGAGGGCCGATATTGTCATTGGGAAATATAGAGCCACAGCTAAGATTGCTTGAGAAAGATGTTACTCCATTAACTATTAGTCCATTATCTATTACTCAACCCAAGAACCGAAACCCAGTGTGTGAACCTCTACTGTCAGATTCCCCAAATGCTGCCACAAGAAGATCCTTCGGATCAGGTACACAACTCGATTTCTTTCAGTCTCAGTCTAGATTGTCTTCGAGTTATTCAAGAAATTGCAAGGATAACTGAGTTCTACCAAGTCGTTTGGCGGCATAATTGAGCTATTGTGTTCTTGGATAACTGGTTACTGCATATATACATAATTTGGAACTGTTGACCGTGCAAAATGAATGTACGAGTTATTGTAAATATTATTATGTGCAATTTTTGTCTTGTATATCTTGATGAGAACAACTGAGCATCACCTTAAATATTATCTAATTCTGGAATTATCTGAATGGACAATGCTAGCTAGAAGTAACCATTCTTTCAGAAATGTTGTATTATGACAGGTGGTTTTACAATGGAACAATGTGGTTTATTTGAAATTTGCTAATTCATAAGGTTGTGGAAGGTACCTTTCAATAGTGGCTCAGGATTTTGAAAGTCTCAGACTAAATATCTTTTTCAAGTCTTTGATAATAAGAATTTTTTAAAATTCTATTGTGGTCTTTAGGCGTAGTCTCAGTAGCTTAATGATTGAGTTACCTTTGAAAATTTTGTGAAATGCCATGACAACGTTGTGTCCTGGCTTGGCTAGAAAATGACTAGTTTTCATAAGTGGGTTATGGATTAGATGAAATGATTAAAAGGCCATGTCCCTGATTAGTTTGCAAAATGAAATGTTTTTTAAAACATGTGAAAGATGTGTAAATGTTTCAAGAGTTCTATCTTCATGTGGCTGTCATATGGACAGATTAAGCTGACCACACTATTTGATGAGCCTACAAGATATTAGGGTTAGTTCTTTTTAAAAAAGGTGTGGCCCATTAGGTTTAGGTGATGTGATTAGTGGTATTCATTAAGCCAACTATGTAGCAAATTTTTCACTAACGTGATATTATTTTTCTTATTTTCCAACTAGAAATTGTGCAATGTTATACAATCAGAAATTGTGAGCAAAAATATATCTAGAAAAATTAATGTTTGGTCTAAATTTGTTTTAGGTGTAGGTAAATTTATAGGCACAAATTTTGTTTTATTTTTTTTATTTTGTTCATTTTTGTTTTTTTCCTCTAATATAAAGTTATGCTTGGATCATAGATTTCAGTTTAAAAAAAAAAAAAAAGTGGGTATAGATGAAATGTTATTATATTTTATTTACATTTACATTTACATTTCACTTATGTTTTTTATTTTCATTTTTTAAATTTCTATTCAAATTTATAATTCAAACATGGTCTAAAAGAAATAAAAGGGATGAGACTTGAAATCCAAACGAGGGTTTGACGAAGGGGCTCTTAACCAGTGAGCTACCTATTTGTCGACGATGGGGCCTAGGTGAGGTGAATCACATGTATGACTCATGAGGAATTACGGACCTATTGTCCCATGAAGAGCATTCAATTCTTCAATGGAAAAATATGAGGTGGCTTGAAGAATATGGTGTGTGGGGCTAGGTTTAGTTAACTTGGGTCTGTGAGGAGTTATTGCAAAGGCATGTGGGGGACCCCATATCCTCCCCCCTCCCTCACCCTTACCCTAGCAAAGGTCACTTAAGCATGGGGCTTCTCTCTCCCCTCCCTACCCCACAGGGTCCCCCCACACCATTCCTTCTAATCTGTTGACAATGATCCACCTAACCCATCATCACTGTTACAAACCCCTTAGGTCATGCCAAACAGTCCCTCATGGTCCTTACCCTACTATTTTAGCTGTCCAAATGGCTTGAAAATTTATTTTTCACTATTGGATGACAGAAGAAATATGTGACGGTTCAGGGTACATTAAATTAGGGTACATTAAATTAGCGTGTCAGACTTTTTTGCACACTTCTTACTTTCAATGGGTAAATTGTACCCTGAAATATTTTTAAGGGATTAATTACACTTTTCAACTGTTTTTTAAAGATAATTTTCTCAACAAAATTTTTTTTAGAGACCAATTGCAGTTTTTAACATTTTTCAAGGGCAGTTGGCTTAAACATGCTAATAATCTCTTCTCAAATCCTTGATTAAAACATAACCAAAAGGTAAGAGAGAATTTTTTTAACAAATATAAGAAAAATAAAGCATAAACACCTAATTAAAGTTAAGGACCAGGCAAATTTCTAATGGTTTGCTAGGATGACTTTTAAAATTTTATTCTTAAGTCTTTACTGTTCAATTAAACTCATGGAATTGAAGATTGTATTACCTAAACTCTTAGTAAAATGTACAAATTTTGGCCAATAAATTTCTCCCAATAGTTGTATTACTTTTGCTTTTTCTTTTTTTTTTTGAGTTTTGATATATGGGTAATTTGGGGTTTAAAGATTTGAAAACAATTTGAGACTAGTTAAGCTAAATTTGTTTAAAATTTTAAAGAGAAAATCACTCCCCAATCCACACCTGTTAAGCAGTCCTTAATTTAGTACCATGCATGCGTGATCCCATCCCCAAATCATGCCACGACTCTTCTACTTTGCATCCAAGTTCGCCACGCAGCTTTCCAGATTTGCTATGCCAGCTCAGCTCTTTCAAAAAGTTATATGAATTATAGACACCAAATAAAGTATTTTCAATTGGTTCTTTTCAACACTAAATAAAATAAAATAAAATAAAATAAAAAAACAGAAAGTTAATTCTTATCAACTATAAAATTTAATATTATTTTCCAGTTATTCTTTTCTTATACTGTTAGTCAGTATTCTTGAGCTGGTAGATATGTTATATTATGATTTGTCTAGTCATATAATTCACAATATATTAAACTTAAACTATATAGATCCAAATTTATTTTTGGTGTACTATCAATTGGTCATTCATCTATTCTTTTAACTAGAAAATCTAAGAGTTAATTATTATAAAAAAAAAAAATTATAATTATTTCTCATTTATTCTTTCTTGATTGGTTAGTATTTGGTTGGCAAACAGATGTGTTGGACTATGATTTTCTAATTATATTTGTAAAAAAATCTCTTATTGACAAAAAATTACTTTAATGTCATTTAAAATACATTAAATTTATGAACATATTATTTTTCAATAATTTTTTAGTTAGTTTTCAAAATCACTCAGTCTAAAAAGTAATGCTATGAAGATAAAAAGAAAAGAAAAGATAAGTTATTTGTGGAACAAATTTATTATGTGTGTATAATTTATACACCATACAGTTTAAATCTAATTTACATAATTCAAATAATTTATCCAAAAAGTAAACAAAACAATGTGTAAATTGAATAACTTAAGATTATATTAAATTTAAATAATTCAAAGCAACACCCATCACATAATTTGATATATATATATATCCAAAATGTAATATTGAAATATAACCATAACATTATTCAAAAAATTAATATTATTATAATGACAATTTTTGTGCAAAATTTAATTAACATTTAAACTAATGCATGAAAAATGAGTCCATTTGAAGTGATGACCTATCAAATAAAATAAATTTGATACAAAAGCCAAATTCCAGCCATCACAAGTATTGCTAACAAAAAAAGAAAAAGAAAAACAAGATGATTAAAATGAGATTGCATTAGAGGGAATATTTTGAAGGAAAAAAATTTAGAAGAGAGAATCATAATTTCATTCGCTGTTTACAATTCAAATTCAATTCAATACATCAAAACAATCTCTCTTATTTAAAAAAAGACGTCAAAATCACACTCTTGAGTTAAACACTTACAGATAAAAGGAATAGACTTGCGAAGAAGATCTGAGTAAAAACAATAAACACACCAAATCACACACACACACACACATATATATATATATATGCTTGATCAAATATATATATGGATCGTGCATGACTATATATGCAGACGATCTTCATCCTCTGCTTCATCTTTTCATCATCATCATCATCATAATAATTTACGTCAAAAGATCATTGACCCAACCAAGATCAGGGCAAGCCAAACCATTGTCATTGAGCTTGTCATCAATGAAGGTCTTGATTGAACTGAATCGATCTCTAGACACAGAAGGGCTTGAGCTCGATGGAGAGAGATTGAACTGAGGTTGATCATCACCATTGTTGAAATTAACATCGACCCACGAAAGATTTCTCTTGTTGGTAGCTGAATTTGGAGTTTCATTGACATTCATAGACTCCAAAGAATTCATTATCTCATTCAACTCATCTTTGTAATTCACAGCACCAGGATTGAACTGACTCAATCCACACCTTTCGCCACTCCCGTACCGCGATATTGGGGAAAGCCCGCTCATCGACCTCGATTTCACTGGCGAGAGAGGCGGAGACAGCGACGGCGACAATGGTGGCGACGAATGAGACACACCCGTTAGTGTAGAAGTCGGAGAAGCTGCGACCGAGTGACAAAACAAACAGCAATGGTTCGAATTCCGGTACATCCTCTCCGCCGCCGGAGAATACACTTGCGGCGGCGCAGGAGGAGAATTGCCGTCGGATGGTGGCGGCAACAGGCGGAGCTGCCGAGGCGAGTGAGCGAAGAAACATACCTTCCGCTTGCAATTCTTACCGTCCTTACAGGCCTCGGTACGATACCGAGCCGGGTGGAGCCAACACTCAAACACCCCGTGTGCAAACTCGCAATTTTCGCCTCGGCTACAACTGCCGCGACGAAAATCAGAGCAGACGGTACCAGAATAATTGTACCGTCTGGGATCTCTCCGGCGAGCTTTTTCGCCGGGATGAGCAAAAGGACAGTCCGTCCAGTCATGGCTTCGGCTACGACTGCACCGCCTGACTTTAAACTCATACATCCGGAAGGTGTCCGAAGAGTAAGGATCGTCATCATCATCGTCATCGCCGCCATTATAGGGAAGGAATTTCTGGAGGAGGGTTTCCTCGGCAGTCCTCGGGGAGTCAGAGAACATGTCGGAAAAAGAATCGTTGGCGGCGGTGGCGCGGCGGCTGAGGAGTTTTCGCGGCGGAATGTCGATCTCTCGGAGTGATTTTTTGTGGAGAAGGAGTTGGTGGGAGGCGTGGAGCTTGTGTTGCTGCTCTGCACAAACACTACCCATGATGTGAAATTTTCTAGAGAGAGAAGAAGATTTGGTGTTGAATGAGGGTAGCAAAAGAGGAGTGAGAGATGTATATAGGGCGGAGAGAGAGAGAGAGAGGAGAGAGAGTAGAGATAGAGGAGAGGGGTTGGATGACGAGGATGGTGAAGGAGATGGGCGTGGCCGCATAGCAATAGGGGACTGGCATGCAAAGGGGGGTACGTGGCAGCTCCACAGTTAACAGCACGCAAGCACTTGCGAGACAAGTCGGGCCTATTTTGCTTCCTACCTGGGTTGTGATGTTGTCACTGTAGATAGGATGGTAATCCTATTTTGTTTCATTGTATACATTAATAACTCTTTATAAATTGAAGAATGAAGTTGGATAATTTGAAACTCACTTAAATATTATGATGGGGATAACTTATATTAGTAAAATAAAAAAAATTTATTACTTGTATAATAATTTTTTTTACTAAGAGATAAAAGAAAATATGAAACATTTTCGCAAATGAAGGAGTATTCCAACCACCAAATTAACTCTTAGTATTTAGTTTGTATAATGTTATTCTATATAAAGGCCTCTTTTAGATATTTGACTTTTAGTAACGTTTGTGCGTTTGCAGTAAAAGTTAAAAATTAGTGTTTTTTTGTATTTAAAGACATTTGAGAAGTTGATTTTCAGTCACTGGTGAAATTACAATTCTAACCCTCATGGGTCAAAATGTGCCACATGAGTGAAATTGTAAATATTTTAAATCGATGGGAGTAGTTTGATCATTTTATTGTAATTTGACTTTATAAACAAATATTAATAAAAAAAAGTCAAAAGTAGCTTTTTATTAATTTCTCAAATCACTTGTCTAAAAAAATCAAAAACTTAGTTAAAAGTCAAAAAGTTATTTTTTATCATCTTTCCAAAACAACCCTAAATATGAGTATTTATAATAAAAAAAAATGTAATTTTAAACTTGATATAGTGTGAATTACACTTAAAAATAAATATAATATCTATATATTTCAAATTTAAGATATATTTGGTGGTAAGTCTTTTTGAATGCCTAAGATTACTGATCTATGATTTGGTATATGATTTAGTTGTGTCCCGTGCATTTTGGTATAATTTTTGTCTAGAAGAAATTGTTTACAATTCCAAAGCACTACATGCAACTATTTTTCAACAAAAGTAAAATTTAGTAGCGATATGACAACATATATTAAATGGACATATAATATATTGCTTTTTAGAGGGAATTTAAGATATTTTCTGATTTTATTTATGTTTTAATTTTTGACAGGTAATACTGTTGATCTGTGATTTTTTATTTATTTATTTATAAAAACAAAATAAAAATAAAAATAAGAACAAAGTATTCGTACGTGTCATTGGATGGTTTCACCAGATAATTTCTTTGTGCTTCTCCATTCACCTGCTAATTTTCCTTTTCTCGATATACAATTGGGGTTGCACGTCTTTGGTTAAAATTGGTATTACAAAGTTTGCGTGAGACTTAAGGTGGCTATATCTTTGTACCGTGCGAGAAAGTTAGGGCTCATTTGTCGTTTTCATCTTTGTGTGATGTAAGCAGGTTGGAGAAGTTATTCGTTGATTTGGGTATAGAGCAGGGATTGGTAGTTCTAAATTTGAAGTAATAAATGGTGTTTTGAGAAATTGGTAAAAAATTAATTTTTTTAGTTTTTTTAGTTTATTTTGTTTTTTTTGTGAATGAAAAATGTGAGAGATAATATGATTCAAAATGTGTGAAAGGTTAAAAAGGTAATTTTTTTTTTGCTTTCCAAAAGGCCACTAAATCAATTTTAATGAATCAAAAAATTAAAAAAAAAAAAAAAAAGGCTAAAGTATCCCATTATATGAGACCCACACCTATATTAAAGCTATTAGAACTTTTGGTGTAGAGGTTTGAAATATTTCTGTTTGGGTATAATCCCGTGGTGTCTTAGGTATATTTTTACAATTTAATATTGAGTAATTAAAAATTTAGAGAGACATAAAAATTTATGATTGATCTTAGATATGATTACATGGTATCTGAAGGCTGACTAATAATTTTTTAGATTTGTACCCCAAAGTTAAGCACGATTACTTAAAAGAGTAATGTTAAAAATTCTAAATATTTTATTAAATATCTCACATAAGTATAAAATTCACATAAAACTCACATAATTTAATTCCCACATGCATATAAAATATTTGATAAAACATTTTACCTCCCTCGCATTTTTCAACTTAAAACCCATTTGTTATTAGTATTCTATTAACAAATAGTGAGCTGCCAGCCTCTGGAGAGAAATAACAGCCCACTGAGTGGCCTCCACGTGGCGAACTCTTGCTGTAACAAGTGGAGTATTCGTGGCATTGCTTCCCCTAGCCCACCCAGAAGAAGTGTCTGGTTACTCTGTTGTTGGACCAAGATGGGGTCTAGTAAGCCCATTGAGTTAGGCTTGAGGGTTTACTGGACCAGTGTGTTTACATTTCATTTTACCCAACAAAGCCCAGCATTGTAGGCCTTAGAGATCAAGGCCAAAAAACACCTAAGAGCATCTCTTATGGCAAGTCATTAAAATTGCTATTGCTAAATTATGGTAACAGTTGACAGAAATGTTGCTCCAACAGCAAGGTATGGTAATTGTCAAATTTGACAAATGATAAAGCTTGTGTCAAATTTGACACAAGTTTTGCCAGCTGTTATAACGACTATACGGAAAAGAAATAAACCTTCTCGTATAATCCTGTTGATCAAGTTTGTGCTCCTCCGTACGTCGTCACTTTATCACCTGAAAACACAAACGTGAGCTAGCCGGCGGGTGTGTGCCGGAAACCTCTCCGATGCCTAAGTCAGTAAGCTTGACAAATAGACAAAAGTTCTGTGTATTCAGAAAGCAAAGTTGTGTTACCTCTCCAAATGTGATGTTGTGAGCTTTTATAAGTTTCGTGTGGCACAATCCTAATAGAACTTTTGCTCCTCCATGCAGAGTCCTCCTAGGATTCATACTTCTGAAAGATAATGCTTATCCTTCAACACCTCCCTCACTGCTTAAACCAAGTGAGATGGTTCTACCATAGTAGGTTTCTAATAGGACCGAGGTAATCATGGCTGTGCTGAGCCGCAGTGTAGGCCGAACTATCCTTAGTTCGGTTATTCCTTTCACTACACCTAATCTTGGTTCTCTCATGTACAAACCATGGTGTGATTAGACCGAGCTACCGAATAGTAAGGTTCTGACCGTTCTAACCACAATACGCCATGACCGGGCTAACTCTGTGACCGGACTAACTTCAAAGCGTCTTTAGACCGGACTAACTTCAAGTCTCCTCCGGACCGGACTAGCTTTGAGGCTCTAGGACCGGACTAACTTCAAAGCCTTTTTACTCAGTCCTTCGTATTGTGGCCCATGACGGCCCATTACCCAGCTCGGCCCAATTTTTATATAAATTACCCTCTTAATTGCCCTTTAATTTCATCTGCGTAGCATGATAGGGATTACTTGTTTTATCAGCCGAGCTAAGGTTTTTAAGCCTTTCCAGCCGAGCTAAAATCCTTTAGCTTTTCCAGCCGAGCTAAAACCCTTTAGCTTTTCCAACCGAGCTAAAACCCTTTAGCCTATCCAACCGAGCTAAATTCACACCGGGCTCTAGCTGTCCGGTCAAAACGTCTTTTCAATCACAGCAATTGAATCGCTTCTTATTCTAATGACACGTGGCAGACGCTGATTGGCTCAATATAGCTGTCACGCCGTCTTCGTACTCCGTGTTTTTTGAACAGTCCCGCCCAAATTTTGGGCTGTCTAACAAAAATAAATCCTAAGGCAAAAATCCCCCATTTCTGCTATTCATCCTCTTCCTTCTCTCTGAGTTCTCACTGTTCCTCGTCTTCTGAAAGAGCTCGTGTTTTGCTGCTGCCTTTTGCTTCATTCCTCTAAGCTCTTTGATCTTGATCAGGTAAGTACTGCACCTTTATCTTACTTTTCTTGTTTTCGTACTTTGTTTTGTGGTCTTTGCATTTGCTTTCTCTCATTCTTGGCACACTGTTTCTGTTTTTGCAAAACATATATTCTTGCTCCACCTTGCGTTTTCTAGGAAAAACTTCATAAGAACCTCATGAACTTCATGAAGTAATCTATAAAACAGTGTTTGATCCACAATTACCATATAACCGAACTAAAAAGTAGTTTATAGTCAATGTCCTCCTATTAGAGACTTTAACCGAACTAACACTTCATGTTGGTATCAGTAATTTTGAATAAGTCAAACCACTTCTTGATAGACCTTAGCCGAGATAAGCGAACCGAACTAAGTCGAACGTAGCATAATGAAACCTTATCGTTCGATCGAGCTAGGTCTTTGGGGCTAAGCCAGCTTTCTAAGTTTTTAGATCGAACTCAGAAAGCTACCCCTAGAGGCTTAACCGATCTGACTGAGCCTTCTCTTTAACCGAGATAACGAATCGCTTTGCCAAGACTGAGCTATCGAACCGCCTGCTTAATCCAATCTACTAAGCATCTTGTTGAAACCGAGATAGAACCTATAGCATCCCACACACCCGAAGTAGGACCCCTATTCTTGCTTTTATTTTGTAGCACGATCCAATGACCTGTGCTTAACCCCTTTGTTTTCCACTTTGCAGACTTAGGTTGCCCAAGCACTCCACTGTGCGCCCAGCCGAGCTACTGAGCACAATTTTGCGACCGAACTAATTTATTCATAACTTAAAAAATAAATGGGAAAGTATAGGTTTCTGGTAGAAACCCCTGGTGGCCTGGCCGAATTCTGAAGGGATTACAACATCCCTGACGACGTCCAGCTTATTCTGGCCGAACAAGATACCCTTCCATGGGGAAAACAGGGCTATGTACCTTTCACCCTCCTATCAATAATAGAAACCAGACTAAGATTCCTTGTTCAACCCCTGATTTGTGAATTTCTAAGACAAACCAGAATATGCCCAACTCAGCTTTCCACCAATTCTTACCGTATAATAATGGGTATAGCCGAACTAAACCGTCGAGCCGGTCTTAACCTCGGTCTAGCCGAAATATTCCATCAATACTCCATTGGCTCCAAAGATGACGGCTGGGTCTACTACCTTAGAATACGCCGTCGTAGAGAAAAAATAATAAAAAATACGCCGGATAAGGACTTAAACGATGATGACTTTTTCTGGGTGTCTGGCAATTTTGAAAACCAGCAAGTCTAGATCCCTGGCCGAAGTATAAACTGGAATAAAAAAGAACCTGGTATAATTACTTCGGTTTTTGGTATGCTTTACTTTATTTCGGTTACCTGCTCCTGAACCGAACTAACAGTTTGTCTTCTTTATGCAGATTCAGCCCATCTTCAATCACTTTACGGCTACCCCAAT